CAAGTAACGAACATCAATCGCCCAGCAGTGACAGAGAAGGAAGTAATTTTAAAATGAAGCTAGTATCTATCCAGTGCCCAGTACACGCGAGGCACTGTTCTAAATGCACATTTTTTTCTAGATGCCACTTTTTTTGTTTTTCTGTTTTTGTGGGTTTTTTGGGGGGTGATTATTTATTTTTCAATGGAGGTACTGGGGATTGAACCTAGGACTTTGTGCACGCTAAGCACGCACTCTACCACTGAGCTGTACCTCCCCCACAAACACACACTTTTAGTGCCCACAGCCCATTTACAGATGAGGAAACCGAGGCACAGGGATGTGTGCACAGAAGCAGCGCTCACAGGCCTGGCTGGGGAGTGCCTCCCTGTTCTTAACCACCTGCTGTTGGACAGTGAAATCTGCATAACTACCTGCTGCACTATGGGCGGTCGGGACTCTAACCGCTGTCCCGAGTGCTCTGTCTGAGGGGATGAGAATCATGTGCTGTCCTCACTCAGAAAGGCTTCTGACTCGATTTCATGTCCCCAAGGGCAAACTCCGAGGCCCTGGGAGGCTTGGAGAGCTCCGCCCGGCCAGCCAGCTGAGTGGTCCCTCTGAGCCGAGCTCCCTCCTGCTTCTGGCACCTTCGGGAGGAGGGGAGAGTGGGGTCCCAAGCACGTGGCCAGCCTCACCCTCAGTCCTGGCCAGGCCAGCTGGTACTGCCCAGCGCCAGGTATGCAGATACGGGGCTGAACACAAGCACAGGGCTCTTCCTGAGCAGTCTGAATGCAGCTTCCCTGTCTCAAAAACGTGAATCCAGCCACACTTTACAGCGTCCTGGCATTAGTTACTTTATATACTTCCTCAATGCGGCAATTTACGTAAGCCCATCCCAGGTTCCATGGTGCAGACTGTCAGTTCACAGAGAAAGCTGACTGCCTTTTCAACTCCATAAAATTTCATATCCCCAGCACAGTGCTATATATACTTCATGAAAGGTGAGTGAAACCGTTAACTTTTTTAAGTGTGTGGATTCATATATTCATATAACACGCTTAGGGCAGTTCATGCCAAGTATGGGTCTCAACTGAATTTCTCATTCATAAAAACAAGAACTGCATGACTTTAGATCTAACACAGGCTCACACCTGCTCCCCAGCTTGGGTCACTTCCCCACAGGCTGCCTCGTCTTGCCTTGGTGATCCTTTTCATCCTGCCCTTAAGATGCTTTGTTCTATAGCAGCCTATATTTCAGTCCCATATTATTTTCCTTATAATATAAAATTTTGTTATATGAAGCAAACCACAGACTAATTACGCAGAGGGAAGGAAAAATATGAAAAATGCTTCTTTAATATGCTAGAAATATTCAGCTCCTATTCAGCTCTAGTGTGAAATAACAGGGTCTAGACCTCCCCAGGTAATTAAATCCACATTGTGTTTCTGGCTTCAGCTCCCTGCTGCTGGGTGGCCCTGGGAGGGTCCTCCAGCCTCCCTCATCTCCTCAGTGTCCTGAAGGCTTCTCCTCCCTACCTCAGGGAGACAGGCTCAGGACAAATGAGATAAGAATCTGGCAAGCATTTGATTTCTTTGGAACCTAAATTGTATTTTCACAAGATTGCTTTATCAGCATAAGTACCGTTAATACGGGCAAGAATCAGTGCTAAACGTACATATTTGGAACAAAGAGATGGCGTATTTTAAAACAAATGTTTTCAAGGAAGGAAATGTGTTTGTGGGGGCCTGTGGCTTGTATTCTGTGACCAGCCTTCTCCAGCTCTGCTAAAGAGGGTTTCTCTAGGAGCCCCTCCTCAACAGACTCTTCCAGAACATTCTGAGCCTCATCTGAGAGTTACTACAGCACCGGGCAGTAAGTTTTTCTCAAGAATTTTCCAAGAGGCCTCAAAAACATCTCCCCACCCAGTTCTGAAATGGAACCAAACTCCATGATAACAACTAACTCATAACAGACACCATAAATTAAGTCAAATAAGCAGAACATGGCTAAGTCATTTCCCTCGACAGATCTCCTGTATCATCAGAGGCTGTTTAAACTTGAAATACGTAGGGTGGAAAGAACCTTGAGATGTGTGAAAAGTTACTGCCATTAGAGATACGGGGGTTTTCTGGTTAAGCCTGGTTCAGAGAAACAGTGTGTTTTACAAACTGACTCAGAAAACGATACCGTTTCCTAAATGTATTCTCCCAGATCATTCACTGACCCTGAAATGTTCTACCAGAAAAGTACAGAAAAGGAGCTGGCTACAAGAAAACCTTCCAAAAGAAGAGAGCACACGTGCAGGCACACGTGTGGGCGCAGCAGGGGCGCCTCCTGTGTAAGGCATCGCAGGTGTGCCCTCTTCGAACGCCCTGCTCTGACTTACCCTGTGTTGCCTCACACCCCGTTTATTCTCCTCCCAAACGCAGAGCCCAGGATCAAAAGAAGAGAACCTGTTGTGGCAGTTCTACAGTCTTAGGAAGACATGTGACCCCTTTTGTGTACTTCTGAGCCCAGGAAGGACCCCTGGTCTCAATGAGGGGTACCAACGACATGCCACGCCTACCTAAGGAAACTGAGTTTTGGAGCGCAGCTCCCCAGGACGGTTGAGAGTCATGAGAACGTTAAGCTGAGAGCGGCCGACCTGTGACAAGCATGGGTGGAGGAGTGACGTGCAGAAGGGGCTCCTGAGGCATTTCTGGGCCATGGGACAAAGTTCAGAGATGATGTGTTAGGTGAGGTAAACAGAAACTGGTAAGTAATCGTCACAGACAAAAAATTTTATAGGCGGTTCTTTAAAAATTCTCATACCCCAGTAGAATGATTACTTTCTACAAACCTGCACTTCTGTTAGTGACTCACTCTCTCTCTCTCACTGGGTGCCAAAATCTGCTGTCCTCATAGCGACAGTCCCAGGGTGGTGCCATATTTTCCCACAGCAGCTGTGCAGCCTCCGCTCCGAGAGCACAGAACCTGTCCTGCTGTAACTGATCCGAAGTCAACTAGTTAATGCACCCTGACCCCGGGACAGGGTCTTCTTTCTGTGGCGAACCTCCTGTGACTGGAGGCAGCCGCACGGTGGGGACCAGGGTGCCCCGGAACTAGCACACGGCCTCTCCACGTGGCAGACGCCTGGCGCTGGTGGCTCCCCCCAGGGTGGGGAGCGGGAGAGTCAGGAGCCCCTTCCCAGACACGGGGCACTTCTGGACACCCACCACCACCCATTTACACGCAAACCACCTGAGAAACCAAGTTATTCTTTCTTCTTGGATCCACCTCCAGAAAAGTCTCAATGTACCTTCCAAAGGCAGAACTTTTTACATTTATTTTTCTCCATGAATTTCATTCAAATACCTTCCTTTTTAAAATAAACTTCTCAACTTATTTCTTGGGTGAACCCAGACCAGACCCATGAGGGGATACCCAGTGAGACTGAGCCTGGGCTCGATGGGCCTCCACTGGGACTGCGGGCTCACCCACGGGGAGGCCGGGAAACGGCCCGGATGGAGTGGCCCGTCCCCAGCCCCCTCAGTCATGAGCCAGAATTTTTCCTCACTTTTCTTCAGGTGGAAGTCTCACGTAACTGTTTAGATGACTCAGTCACCTCAATTATTATTTTTTTTAAAAGAAAATAATGAGGATTACTCTGATGAAATACTTCCAAGTTCCAATTTTATTTTCTTAACTAAATGACTGTGGGTGGGTCCACAGGGAGAGATGCTATTAGATGCCAGATGCCTGAACGTCTCAATTTATCTTCTTCCTCATTATTACTACAGGCAGGAAATATTTGCTGAATGCTAATACACTGAGCTCTGAACAAAATCAAGTGAGCCATTATTTCTATTCTCTAGTCCTATTACTCTAAGCATTCCAAGTTCTAGGACTTATGACATAGTGACCTCAAAAAGTAGGTTGGGAAAGAGCTGATCACTCAAATCAGGAGGATTCTGAAAATAAAATCATTGTAGGAAAACAAAAATTTTAAACCAACTTATTTCTGTTCTGGAAACAACCTTCAATACCATGAATTCTGCAAAAACGAGTGAGAAGAGCCCAAAGCCTGGGACTCTAGACTGGCCATCTGGAGCATCCCCCACACTGGACTCTCCCCTCCGTCAGTAACTGCTTCCACATGATGTGGTCAGATAGTGAGCGGGCTGTGGGGACTGTGCATGGGGCAGGCGCCCACATCTCGTGGGGGCGACCGAGGCCTCGTGTAGGAAAGCACAGCTCATATCAGACAGCAAGAAACCTGGCAGTTCTGAACCGAGGGCAAGTACACTGAAACCCCTACATGTTGTCAAATAATTTAAGAACTTGGACTCGAACAGGTGCGCATCTCAGTAGGAACAGAGGCCCCTGCTGACAGCAATGTCCCCAATGGCTTTTACAGGGGACTCTGGGCATCTCTGCATCACATAAGCCCAGGATTCCAACTGCTCCTGTCAGTTTATCTTATATGTTTTTTGGTTCTACCAAGACAGAATCACAGGACAGTCCAGGTCACCGCTGTAGAAGGCATCCCTGCAGACTTCTGTGCTGCAGGTCACGTGCTCCCTCCCAGTGGTCAGCAGGGGGCAGGCCCAGGCCAGGGGCGCTGCCTGTGCTCTGAAAGGGTGCCTCATGGCCAACCAGCATGCCAGTGCCCCTGCTTCAATCAGAGCAGCCCCGCTTCCAGGCACCAGAGCTCTGTGTAAGATCTAATTTAAAATAATGGGCTCTCCTGCTTAACATAAAACACAACAGCAGCCTTGGAACACCCTGTTGGAAAACCGTGCAACAGCACCGAGACGGGCAGGTGATTTTTCTGAACCCATGAAGACACGTCAACATCTTCTAGCCCTGACACTCCAAATCTTTGCTCCTGGTACCATGTCCTGGCGCCTCTCTTAACCCGTGGCTGCTGTCTGAAATGTTGATGACAAACTGACATTTAGGGGTAGAAAGGGGCAATTTCATCTCAGACCAGAGACTGGCTACATTCACCTCTCCAAAGAAAGGGCTGGTTCCAGCTTACCTTGTCACTGTCCAGCGTGTTCTGAGACGTCCGGGAGGCAATTGAAATGGTATCAGGCTGGCTGCTGCCGTCACCCTGGCTATCCAGATCCTCTCCATCCCTGGAGATACAAAGAAATTCTTGACACCGCCGGATTTGTTTTTTAAGACTTGTGAAGACTGTCTACCAGCCATTGGAGAAATAACAGATTTGTTCAGAGGTGCAAATCAGTCTGCGTGACTGCGGCTGCCACCACTGTATTAATGATGGTAATACAGTCACACACAGTGATAATGACTCTTCCCTGAGGACAGGCTTTTTGCCGGGCACCGGGCTGAATGTCTAAAATCTATCATCTCATTGAGTTCTCACGATAATGAAATACAGTTGTATGATCACTGCCATTTTAGAAATGGGAAGCTACGTAACTTGTCCAAGGTCACATGCACGACTGACACATGTGCACAGATCAACACTTCGGGGGAAAAGGGACATGATTAGGGATTTGCATGCAGACCTTCATTTACTTTAAGTCAAAGGGGTTCTCATCTTGAAGCAATTTCATTACTAGGAATGATGTTATATATGAACTGCATTTTTAAAAAAAATATTCTTCAAAATATTTAAGAAAAATGATTTGTGAAAAAGAGTAAGTTACCATCGCCTTGTTCCTTATGGGAAAACAAGTGTAGGAAAAAGCCCCCGGCACGCACCTCCTCCCCCTCTGTCTGGCCGCCGGAGCCGTCTTGGGGATGTGGATGGGCTCCTTCAGGGCGCCTTTCAGGTGGATGGTTCTCTCCTGGATCACCTCCCGGATGTGCTTGATCCAGTCTTGCTTGTTCTCTATACTGGAGGCCTTGACAAGGTGTTAGAGTCGATCAGGACACAGAGGGGCCCTTTCCAGACCCTGCACTCACCACACTCAGGGCCCCGCGCTCCTTGAGTCGCCCGTTTTAAAAATAACTTCTCAGCAGAAAAGCAACCACATCCTGCGTTTAATTTGCCACCAAATAAATGACCCTGATCTTGAATATTTTATCATCATACCCGTTTTTATTTTATAGCGTTCATATTATTCCAGGTCTCTGAAAATTGTAGTAATCTATCCTTTCCCAGCCCCGTGACCTTTTAAACAACCCCGGGTAAATATGAAAACACAATCACCCCTCAAACCCAAGTGTCCTGAGGTCCTTTAGGCGAAGACGAGTGGTCAGCAGCCCATGGAGGGTCAGCAGGGATGTGAATGCACACCCACACATCTGGCCGCCTTGCCCCCAGGACTGCACCCACTCACACCCTGTGGAGCTGGGGCCTCCCTGATCCTCCTGTTATAAATGAGGAACTGCGGCATGGACACACTAGAAATGTGCCCAGGGTCACGCTGCCAGCAGGTGAACAAGCCGGAATTTCTGGGCGGTGGACGCCTGAGCCCGTCCCCACAAAACTCTGTGTGTAGCTACCTCTGGTTATACCACTGGGATAGACCAGGGTGACCCATTGCCAATGACATGAGCGGATTTCCCTCACCTCCCCGCAGCTCTGAAGGGAGGGTCTCTGACAACGACACGTAGCAGATACTAACAAGCATTTGTTGAATGAATACATACGGCATCACTTTTTCCAGATTTTTTCCTTTCACTGCACCTCAAAAGAGGGTTTTGTTTTTGTTTTTTTTTAAAAAACATGTTCTAGGCCTTAGTAACAGTTTTAAATTTCCTTACGGAAAACATCAACCTCCTACGATATAAGCACAATTCCCTGTAAAGGATTAAAACAATTGTCAGTGGGATTACGGATGAGATCACGAAGGGAGGAGAACCCAGCGCTTCCTCATGGAGCACTGTGTTCTTGAAAATACAGTTAGAGCCCATGCTGGGAAAGGAAATTAAAATCGAGAATGCTCTTTCTAAATAAAATGTTTTAACGGAAGATGTGTCTTCAAAGTTGTTTAGGGGACGAACAGGGAAAGAAATGCAGGAAAAAGGAGCCTCTTGCTCCTCTTCCCAGATCAGATGTCAAGAGAGCAGTAAAACCCATTTCTTCTGGGGTAGGAGGCAGGGTGATTAGGGAACAGGGGAGTCTGTGCATGAAATACGCATCTCAGATGGAAAACTGTGAACAACACAGAACTATTAGAATTTAAATGCTTGACACACACGTTTGGGAGGTTAAACAAACCGAAGTATCTGAAAAGAACACTTGGCAGAGTTTGGAGACAATGGAGAATGACATTTATCGAGAGCAATTCTCCTAACCTTATAGAAACTAGATGAGGATAAAAGGTACTAATTTTTCAGGAGCAGTATGAGAAAGGTAACCACCTAAAGGGCGAAGTAAAAGGTCCCCCTGGATAAGAGGAGGGAATAATTTGTTCCATAGTCTTGGTATCTTGATCTGCTTGAGAAAGAATTTAGAAATAAAATTCCCCTTTCCAACTATAAAGGTAAAAAAGGTCACAATTTAGTTCTACAAAGACCAGGCCATCACAGCTCTGTCATTGCCACCATTACTGTCACCACCATCTACACCATCACCATCTCTACCACTGTCTACACCCTCACCACCGTCTAGACCACAGCCGCCAGAACCGCTGCTAAAATATCCACCACCACCAGCACCAGCATCAGCACCACAAAGCAATCCCTGAAATTAATGGGGACATCATCTCCTTTAGTCTCTCACTAGAAGCCAGAAAAATATTACCCTAAATCCCCTAGAAAACTTCCATCTGGTAAAGCCTGCAGGAAGACTTACTCTCCGATTGCATCATGAATATCTTATCACATCCTATATGAACATAGTCCATATCTGGCACTTTTTCTCAGATGCACCCTTTGGCTTTTGTCACTGCAGTTAATCTGGATAAATACTCAGCTTCAGTTGGACATTTTAAGGCCTTGAGTATACTTTAAAATTCTATGCCTTAAAAGAGCTCAGCTATCTAATATTTCGCTATCAGTGCAATTTACATTTTTTAGGGCTTCACGCCAGTACTAACAAGAACACGCTGGGTTAGTAATCATATAGTCATCCACAAAACAATCCATCATTTCCATGAGAATAAAGACCTTAGGAACACAATGGCTTCCACGGTCAGCGGTCACTAAAGCACAGGCGATGTCTGCTTGAAAAACTCACAGTTGCTGGAAATACCGTAGAGAGATTAAAAGGAATGCAAGGGACAAAACTGCTGACATGCAAGTCCCCACACCAGAGGCCCATTAAGCTTCTGGCTCGTCTCCCAATATTCTACAAATCTTCCACTACATCTGCCCCAAAACATCCTGAAGTCGCTTATGGTCTTTCCAGACAGCTCAACAAGACAGTTCCATCTGTATCTTCTCAAAGGCAGAAGGAGGGAAGCCCAAAAGACACCCCAGAGCCCTGTATCACTCCTAGGAGAGATCTGTACAATCAAAACAGAGTTCAAATCAAATATTCAAAGATATATTCCTCCCTCAAAGACAGTGTGCAAAGCACCCACAGCGTTTTGAACACTGTACCTGATCATCACCCCCTCTTTTTCATCTGCCTCCAAATTAGAAAGCCAGAGTCTAGGACCCCGTGAAGACTCCTGGCCCGCGCAGCCTTGAAACTGTCAAAGGCCCTCACAAATTCATCAGGTGCCTGTTTTCCTCTGAAAACCAGAGGTCAAGTGTACAACGGGAGCTACTGGTCCATGTCTTCCTCCTTCTGTTTCTCAACTTTCTGCACCTCTTATGGAATCACCCAATTCTCTGCAAGACTGGGAGAATGGAGACACTTGGAAAGACCTGCTTTCTTGGTGGGCAAGCAACCGTTTAGCTCAGATTACTTCACTACTAGAACATCAGACCGGATTTATTCCACTGTTCTTTCTGTGGTAATCACCAATCTCAACAGAGCACGGACAGAACAAATCAAAGGCCATGAAAACCAACAGGTCCAACAACAGGAAAAAGTATACATAGATAAACTTGTCACAAAGCACAGTTCCAAACTTCAAACAGACGTACCTTAAGGACAATTTTATTATCTGAGGTTGGCGTCCTCCCCACCCACAGTGCAAATTTGCAAGGATCTCCTTCAACGTGTTCTGTGACACCCAACTCTGAGGTCTGCATAAAGAGACAATCATATAGTTAGGTGACAGTACAATTCTGGCAGGATATAGAACAAAGACTAAAAAAATCATTTCTGGTGACTTGTGATCATGCTAGGTTATAACATCATAGTTTGTTCACGTTGATACATAATCCTTAGCTCTCACTTGAGTTAAAATGATACAATTTTGTTCTTAGGCTACACACAATTGGCTTAATCTCTTTCACTTCCTCTGAGTACCTCGTCTAGAGATCCTGATGCGAGTCAACCAGCAAATGAAGAAGAAAACCAAACTATTCGAAAACGTCATTATCTGGAAAATCAAGAGTTGTCTATTTTCAACCTGACAAACAGTAAAATTTGTCTGTTCCAGTTGCAAAAGAGCTGCCACTGTGTATTTTCATTAAGGAAGTAGTTTCACAGAAGACAAATGATGTTTTAAAGCTCAGTTATTTCCCGATGTGTTCATCCACAGCGTTAAGCTTTAGTAGTTCACCAATAACTTTAATGGCTGAGATGAACTTTCTCTCTGTAATACATGCATCTGCAACGTGCAGAACACGGAAGAGCAGAGATGAAGGCCAACATCTTCAGCCCCTCCCCCACAATCAAGTTCACCCCAGTGTGTTCTCTTCCCCACCCCAGCAGAGGAAGTGATTCATCATCGTGTCCTCTGAGGGGAGCTTAACTTTTAAAAGATAAATTAAGTGAAGATGTATCAGCTTCTAAAACAGACCAGCTTGGTCTCTAAGGACTGATTAAAGCCAGCTAGTGAAATGACCAGCCAGTAAGGCTGCATTTTTTCTGTCCAGTTACAATATGATCTAAAATGATGTAAGGTGGGCGGTGATCCAGAAGACAATCTCAAACAGGATACAAGCCAAAGAAAATGGTATGAAAATCATTAGTTTGAACTTGCAAATTCCAGATTATTATTAAGATGATTTCTGCACTGGGTAGTATTCTGTTACTTTGGGAATTTGATTAATACATGGGTGTCATAAAAATGTATAACATATAAGTTGTCCAAATTCCAAGTATCTACCAATGTGTCTAAGTGCTCTGTCATAACTTGTGAAGAAGAAACCAAATTCTACTGCATTGTCTATTGTTTCTCTGATTGTGATTTTCCTTCGTTTTGCCCACTGGCCCCTGCCCGACCCTGCCCAGCAGTCCTGTGCTGAGCCCTCTGAGATCATGACCACAAAGGGAAGATGGAGGTCAGAGCACCCAGAGGACAACACCTGCCCAAGACTTTTCTGAGAGTTGTCTTGTGGTTTACAGAGACTTGGTTGGGGTTGCCACCAGTGGAAAAAAGGTACCACATACGTTTCTCTTGCCAGGAAGTACACTGACAAGCGAAGTAAGAATTCAAATGCATCACTGTGTCTACCAAGCACTCGAGGGAGACTGTCGCTAGGCAGCTGGGGTTGTGGATCTTGAAAACTATTTTTGCTCACAGACATTTTCTCTAATAGCCATACTTTGCTGCTGTAAAGAACTGTAAATCTATTTTTCATAGATTTATTTTTAGCGAAAAAAACCCCCAAATCTCATCATTAACAGCCCACAATGAGCCACCCTATAAGGCTGCTTAAGTAAATTCCAATGTTGGTGAATGGAAAACTCATTATGATGATATGAGAACTCACTTAACCAGTCTGATATGGTCGATTTATATAAAGCTAGTTAAGGGCACACGGGAGATAAATGATTTCAGCTCACTTGCAAAGTGTTTTCTTATCCCACAGTTAGTTTCTACGGAATTTAGAAAAAGTTTCACAAGTCAAGGGCTGCTCAAACTCACGAGCGCCCTCTAGTGGACTCAAGCCTGCGATAATTTCACTGACGATGAAACCGTGACAATTTCTGACTCACATTTTAGGACAGTTTGGGAGGTTAAATGAAGGCAACAAACAGTAATCTTTCTCTACCTGCAAAAAAGCTGCAATTGTGTTACCTTTAAACTTACAATTTCGAAGGCCTGTACTTACAAACAATTTGCTTTTATAAAGGTACTTGCTTCTCCCACTGGAATCTTTCACTTCTTTGCTAAATACTAAGGACATTTCAAAAAGGAAGAGGTGTCGCTCTCGACCCTTTCGAATTAAGGTTTTCGGGTCCCACACTTGGAAGGATTCCTGCAGGATGAGTTCTCCCTGAGACTCAATGTTTTCATCAAACCCTAGAAAATGAAGAAAAAAAAGGGCACAGTCAATTTGAAAGCAAATAAAAGATGATGCATGAGACCGCATTACGGCTACTGAAACATTTGTAAAACGTCCATCAGTTAAATCTCAGAATACAGTTTCCCCTCCGGCTTCAGTCTCCCCAGCACTGACCCATATGACATAGCTCTGCATACACCTTCCCTTCGATTCCTCACAGCTTTACCCTCACCATTTGAGACCTGCTTTAATGCCCTCCCCCCTCAGCCGTCATCACAGCATTCCCACGCACAAGACTTCTTCCAGAATGGCTCCCGGACTCCCTCACTGGCCGCCATCCACTTTCAGCCTGCGTCTCGACCCTTTGCCTCCTCAGCCTGACCCTCCTCTTCCCAGACATTCTGCTGAAGCCTCAGCTTGTCTTTGAGGCCCTGGTCTGGCCTTCCTGCAGGGAGACATCCCTGACGACCCTTCCCTGGGGAATTTTCTCTCCTTTGAGCACAAAACTCTTTAAGCAAGTTGAGCCTTGCTTTGGCCACTGGCTGGTTTCACTGCTGCTGTCTGGTCGTGAAGTGGCCCCACTGAGGCAGGGGTTACTGGTTATCTCCTAGCTTCCACCCGTCCCCTCTTCTGTACTAGAAGTTGCCCTCTGTGACGCTCAAACCAGCACCGCGATACCCAGCCCCTGTGCGGTCAGGGAGCCACACCTGCGCTCACCTAGGCTCCGGCGACGGGAAAGACTCCGGGGCACAACCTCTAGCTTCTGCCCTTTATGCTTTTCCTGCCCTCCCTCTCTCCCCACTGCCTGCTGGATGGAACGCCCTACCATGGCCTTGACACCTCCTGCACCTGGTCAACCAGGACAGCACCCTGGGGCTGGAGAGAGACCAGCCGGACAGCAACTGAGTCCTCGGTGACTTCGTGAGGGCCGCCCACCAGCTCGGGATTTTACATCAAGGAAAGAAAGGGTGTTCCGGCTTGGCCTCTGGTTTTGGGGGCATCTGTAACAAACAGCTGCTCCCCGCCCTAACTAGTGTACTGTTCCACACGACTGACGGTGACGACGGGCTGGCAAAGCACCCGGGGCCGGATCACTTCTTAAACTCCGTGTAGCCTGAAAATTAGAGTTAAGCTGTAACACCAAGATAGCTTTCTTAAACAGAAGCATTCGTGGAAATTTTACCTATGACGATAATTTTTAAGCGTATTTAACTGACTCTCTCTTTGCCACATTACACACCCTGTTCAGCTGCACAGGCGGGGATGTAGTACCTGCTTAATTCAAAGCTCGAGCAAGTGGGGCAGTGGATGCAGAGATGGGGAAGATACAAGCTCTGTTAGGATTTTACATCTGGGGGGAAGGATCGACCTGTCCTCCCACCCGCCCATCTAACACAGAGACCAGGTAGCCGCCGGCAAGTGACAGGACGTGCCACAAGGGTTCAGAGCGGGGAGAGGCAGCTCTCCGGTGAGGGGACGAGGACAGGCTTCTAATGAGGTCGAAGTATATCACGTGATCCTTAAGGTACGCAATGAGACCAGCTGCTTAAAAAAGAAGGCGCCGGCATCTCAGCTGGTAACTCCCGACTAAACACAGGGGCACGAAGCCAGGCCACCCAGGCGCGGGAGGGCGTGGGCAGTGACAGCGGGGACCCACCTTCCAGCATGCTGAGGTGCATGGCGTCGTTGGCCCGCTTGGGCACGCTGAGCATCACCTCCAGGCCGTCCTTGATCTCCCCCTTCCCTTCCTCGCAGCACGTGAGCAGCTCCTGTGGGAGACCACACCGTGAGCCCAAGACCCCGAAATGCTCCGCCAACTAGGTCTTCGCAGAAATGAGTATGAAAACCCGTGACTTTCGAGATAAAAACAGACTGTGGTCAACTGTGCAGAGATTCTCATGGAAAGCCAATCACCATCTCTTTATCCAACGGAGGAAAGGGTCTGTCCTGCGCAAGTCAGGCTGTTTCTTCACCTCACAGTAAACCAGATGCAGTCAGTTTAAGATGGAATTAGTGTACGCGTTAACTACCAAGCCTCAAAAGGGACAAAAATATTTAATTAGTGCAGAGAGGCACATTCAGCTACTGGTTCTAGCTGAAGGTCAAGCCGGACTCCGACTAGTATTGCTGTTTTCCACTGGATCCTGGCATGGTTCTGAGCTCTTTGGGGCCATGAAAGCGATGTCCCCTCGACCCTGGAACCGCCCTGCTCACAGCAGGAAGGGCATCACTGCACAGAAACCTGCAGGGAAATGCTCTCCTCTGTGCTGGGACCTCAGAAAGCTCTAATGATTGTAAGCACACCTCGCTGGGTGTACTTACATTTTAGATCTACGTAGACAAATGAATGTCTGTTATTAACTGAGTGACAGCGGGGACAACAGATTCACATTCTGGTGGGCTCCAAGATAGATTCGCACCACTGTCTTACTGGTTATTATTCATCTGTAATAGTAACAATAGCTCTCTGTATCCCAGCGTCCAACAAGAGGATGTCACACTGCAGGTGGCTCTGGCTGCACCCTGGATGCTTTACAGCAACACAGCTACCTGACGGGCACCTTTTCTCAAGGCCAGATGGTGTGACCTATTATTGTGAGTAGCTTGGCAAAAAGTGCTTTAAAAATGCAATGCACCGAGACTAATTTTACTGGCAGAAAATCCTCCTCATTAGGGTCCTCAACATAGCTCATTACTGCTCTCCTGAAGAACTCCTGGGCAGAATAAAGTCAGGTTTATAAATTAAAGCAGCGGTTTAATAGTGAATGACTAGATGTGAGGTCACTGAGGAAGAGATCTTTAGTAGAACCATATGCTAAAAACCAAACCCATCAATCTTGAGGACACTAAGCAATAAACTGCCCTTGCAGAGTTAGAAAACAAAGGGCAAACGTGCATATAAACAACTTAGCCTCCTGGCTTCTATTTTGTGTTTATAGCCACCACATACTTCTCCCGCGATGGCCATCAAGTCACTTCACTGGATTCTGCCACAGAGCGCAGGAGAGCCTTTCCAGTAGAAGAATGCCATAATGGTCCCCCTTTACAAGAGAATGCAGCCACTTTTTACTGTTGCTAGATTTTTTTTATTAACAAAAAGAGTAAAGAAGGGTTTTAGGCATTCACAACTTCTTCTGTATTTCATTTCTATCTAGCAAAATTACATTATCGCCTCCTGTTGAGCTAGGATTGAACTGGGGACATAGCTGGGTTCATGAAATACTGCTACTGGGAGGCATGGATGGTGGGTACGTTCTAAGGCTCAATGATGTTCACCAGTCAAGGAAACTTCTATCATGAGACAGAGGTTGTAAATTATTTTTCTTTCAGTCTAGATGATGTGTATCAATTATCTATAATGAATTCTGTAACAACTCTTACCACATATTCTAAGTTTTCTTTACCATTCTACTGTCAAGACTAATTGTTATTCGATTTTTACAAGCAGGATTTTAATTATAATCTTTCATACAAAAAAAGAAAAAAAAGCAGAGGTCAGTTTGACACAAGTCATACTGGGAAAACTGGTACTAAATTATCCAGAACTGATAATTTCCCTTTCCTTTCTCATTTTATGTTGCGGACATTCAGCGAAGTTCAGGTGCTTGATCAAGGAATACAGTCTTATTTACCTGATGCACTGAGAAACTGGTCAGGAAAACAAATGCACTGAATAGAAAAAATGTCAGAACAGTAGTGCACACTTCGCAACATTTTGTGGGCTGTGTGAAGGTGCTTCATACATACTTTTAAAAGGAGCTGGTACTTCGTTATTCGCTGCACTGGTTTAATAAGGTAGGAAGAGATGGAATTGGCTAATCCATGCCGCTGCTGTATCTCCTGAATTAAAAAAAAATTATATATGTGTGTGTATACATACACGTACACACACACAATCACTGCATAAGTTAGCATGAACTAAACACTTACACTTATTTACCCCCATAATGAATACAAACATAACACTTTTTCTGTAAATATAAAGTAGAAACCACTATTGATTCTTTTAATAAGCTGAACATAAAATAGTAGCTCTCAGTCAGGTTATCACTGTGACCACTGAAGACAGCAGTGTTTCCTCTGCATCACGGGCCTTCAGGAGCAGAGAGCAGCTCCCGGAGCCGTCCCCTCGGGCCACTGCCACGCTGCCCGGCGCTCAGACCCCCGCTGTAGCTCCCGCAGCTCCGGCCACACGTGTGCCCGCATCACAGATGGCATCCCGCCCCTCCGCACCGGAGGCTCCTTTTGTTCACACTCTGGGGAATTCCTCTCTCCTGTCTGCTCTCATTTCCACACCCACCTACTGTATTTGCAGTATCTCCGTCTTGGCATCCTCCTCAGGCAGCCAGGGTTTTTTTTTAAATGACTTTGATTCCCAGCATTAAACACGCCATGTGCCCTCAGCACTCAGGCCATCAGTAATTCTGCCTGCAGCAGCCTCGGTGCTGGGCTCCGCGTCACGGCAAAGACCAGGCTTGTGTGAAATACCGAAGCGAAAAGGCCGCCCCGGGCAGGGGCAGGCTCCGCGTTCACCGAGCGCGATGTGTAACGACGGGTCGTGAGAATGACAACCAAGACGGGGGCCTCCAAGGGCGGGGCTCCACCTCGAAGACATAAGCTGAAATCTATTCTGATTCTCCAGGCTCCCAGAGAAGAGCAGATAACCACACCTGGCCAGGTACGAGGGTAAAGACGGAAGCAAGGCCAACACCCTCGTAGCCTCATGCACCAAATTACATGTAACATTTCAAGTACCTTATCTTTAAATCAAAATGAATTTGGCACACATGTGACTAGATTCTGGAAACCCCCAAAGCATTCTGTATATAGTATCAAAAGGCTCTAACCCCTTTTGCACTAAATAACCTTCCCTGCAACATCTTCTGAAAAAAAAGATGAACTACATTTACGTTTATACCAATGCGAATGTAATTAATGAACCTCCCAGTGGTCCTAGTTTTTACAGAGCTATCTGTGTACAGTTTTACTGGTAGACCATTTTTGGAAATTAATAGCATCATGAAATTGAAATGGGAAAAATAAAGATTAAAAAAGATTCAAAGTTATCTTTGTTTTACAGAGAGAACAAGCTTAATTGAATAGCTTACACTTATATGCACTATGTTACATGTAAAAAATTTGTGGCTGTACATAAATTGTAATCACATATATACACACATGTATATACTAAAATCTATATTTTTTTACAGATATACAGCTTGCAGTACTTGAGAAGAATCTTTTAAAAAACAGAAGAAAATACAAGAACATCTCATTATAAATGTGACAGATAAAAACGGTATCATACCATCAATCAGGAGAAAGTTACGAGTCATGCTGCATTTTATGTATACCAAACGCAACTTAGAAAATCTCACGCCTTCTTCAGCAGTCTGTTACTTACATCAAAGTAGGATCCCGCATGCTCTAATATCAGCTGAGTAGAATCAGGCTTATTTTTGCAATATGTGACATACATCTGAAACTTGTCTGCCTGTAAACAACAAAAAAATTAGAATTAACTCTTCCAAGTGGCAATACGTCAAATTATGGTTAAACTTTTATGCAGAAAAGCAGCTGTGTGTATGAAGGAGATTCAAATCCAAAATTAAAGAAGCCGTATTTTATAAGGAAAGCTATTAAAATAAGAAACACATCCCGCTGGTAGGACACACCTGAGCACCAGTGCCCCCGTGAAGCGGGCAAACCTGTGCTGTACACAGATGTGGGCCCGCTCACCAGGTCACCTGCCTGCCTGCCTCCCAGCGGGACAATCTCCCTGCGCAGGGCTGGGCACTCACGGTGACCTGCAAATCCCCAGGGCCACACAGAGGCCTGGCACCCTAACCCAACGTTCTACTTCAAACCATCACTATTGCCAATAGAAAGCTCCCTCCGCAGTAACAGCCAGCCGGAGAATGCAATTCTTTGAAGGGGGGCGGGGAGTCTGCTTCTCAGTACACAGACACCAGCAGAAAATGGTGATGTTGGAGAATGAACAGCGCTCCTTCTAACCTCCCTTGGAACCACGAGGCAAGTGAGAGGTTTCATTACCCAAGTGACAAAGCAGTGTCCAACGTCCTCCGGCAACTGCTCGTATTTCTCCAGCTCTTTCAGGAATATACTACAGACAGTAAAAACAGTATCATGTTATTAAGGTGTTTGAAAACATTTTACTAGTGAGACAGGCCACAAATTAGACCAAGCATACCAGAATTCAGGCAATGCCTAAATTCCATCACTTTAATCAAGCGCAGTGAAAACTCTATACCCTCCAGATTTTAATTTTACAAAACCTGTAGCTCTGAACTAGGGTAAGTGATTGCGACTCTCAGTTAACCAGGTCAGCCTTTAAGCCCTTTCTAATAGAGACGTTTACCCCAGCAGTTTACTTCTGGGAAAGTGCTATGCTTAGCAGCTAAGGATACAATTTAGGGATCCAGAGAAGCCGCTTAGATGCTAGTGCCTCCTGCCGGCTGGGGCAGGGAGCGAGGACGACCCACCAGCTCTGGTCCACAACACCTTCCTCAGGCTGCTCGGGCCGCACAGACTCCACCTACAGGAGCTTCTGCTGCTGCTGGATTTTGTCGTTTTTGATCTTAAAAATAAAACCATGTGCCTCCCAGGGCCAGTGGAAAGTGCACTTTATTTTGGTCGCACTACACATCTGTTCCATCCTCAGTTCCTTCCTCCTTCTTTTTAGGAAAAGACCAAGCACCAGCCAGCAGCTCCTGGAGGGTGACGCTTCCTTTTAGCCCTAAGAAGTGACTGATGTCACAGCTGATGACACGGCCTGAGAGAAGTGAGGGTTCCTACAGAAAGCTTTCAGCTTTCCTCCTCGTACTTCTGTCACAGGTAGGTACAAGCCTAAAGTTGAATCTGTGTTAATAAATAGCCTCTGGACCATCAGTCCTCATGAAGCAAGCCTGGCGGGTTCTTGCAGATGTCAACAAAATCACCAGAATCTATGCTCAATTCGACTGGAAACTTCTACTTCTTGTCATGAAACTTCAGCACAGTATCTGGATTTCCAGAGTCACTGACCACGTCCCCAGAGATCAAGCCACTCACTTATTGTGAAATTCATAGATTTCCTGCATGTTCCCGAAGATAATGAGCTCTTTGTTCACAATGCCAGGCGGGATCTCCTCCACGCCGCTGGTCATTTCCCACAGGTAGGTCTGGCCGGGAGGGAAACAGAGAGGGTTAGACAAAAACCCACACGTTTTCAAGAACAGCTACTCCTGATATCTGTAAATACATACCCGGAGTTAATGTGTAATGGAAAATGTATCTTAGGAGTGGAACCTTTTACAAAATAACATGAGAAACTATTTAAAAAAAAAAACAAAAAAACAATTTTGCTATTAATACCTGAGAATAGCTTCCATACTTTTCAGCTCTAAGCATATTCTCGGTTTCAAATTTTGGAATTAACCTAGTCCACAAGGTACAACAAATATTCGCTAAACTACTGAGCATCCATTGCCAATCATAATCGGTAGGCGCGTTTCTCTGAAGCTGCTGTAAAATTCTACACAAACAGACTGTCAGCCAGGCTGTCATGTGACTAAAGGAATGAGAGCATTAATGCTGTATCATCTCTGCAATGAGCCAAAACACGCCTAGAACTTCACAGAAGTGCAGAAGCACACACAGAAAGCCGCTCATGCACACTTTAAATCTCAACCACCACTACCAAACGTGTGATCATTTTAAGAACTGCCAATAGGTAAGAATAAACTGCAGGACTACATGCAGTCGAAATAAACAAGCAACAAAACTTACTTACATCCATACACTCCCGGAGGTCTCTTACGTAAGCCTTTTCAGTCTGAATGAGCTCAGCCATTATGAACCTTAAAAAAGAGGGAGACGGTGAATGGTTTAGTTCAGCCAGGACACATGCTTATTTTAACTACTTACTTTTATGGCTTATGAAATGACAAGGTGGTTTTAAAAGCGTTAGTCAGTGATGTGCTCTGGAGAATTAAATCAAGAATAGACAGAAGAACAGTAGACAGTCACCAATTCAAAGGAAAAAACATTTTGGAAAAAATGTCAGTGAGGCACCTTCAGATGGGGGCTCCTCCACCTGGCACTGCTGCCATTTGGGGCTGGACATGCTTTGCTGTGGGGCTGTCCTGTGCGTTACAAAACGTTCAGAAGCGTCCCCAGTCTCCGCCCACGAGATGCCAGTAGCACTTCCCCAGCCCCCACTGTGTGACAACTGAAAATGTCTCCACACATTGCCAAGTGTCCCTCCGGGGGGACAAAGCAGTGCCCAACCGAGAACCACCGGTTTAAAGCAATCTTCTGTCGCTATTGATACCTAGTGTCGCTTGCTAACTGGCAGCTTCCAACATCTGCACTTGTGTTACTGATTTCTTCTCCTTAGTATTATCACTCATGTCCCATTGAGGACAAATGACACTAAAACAAGTTGTCAACCCCATACGAAATGGGGGCACATGGACAAAAGCAAGACAGCGTTTCTGAATCAGGCGACGAGGGGAACTGTGGAGTTTGTGCTGCAGAAACTAAGCGCATTCAGAGCAGAGCAAAGGATGAATGCTGTTCGGTTTCAAAGCACACACAGAAGCAAGCATGTCTGCCCAGTGACATTTCTTCACTCTCTCCGCGAGTCCTGGCAGGTTCTTAAAGACTAGCTTACTCTTTCCGGCGCGCAGACTTCCGTTTCTCTTCATTAAGCTCATGTGTGGCATCACGAAGCTTCACCTCTGACCCAGGGATACTGGCTGGAATTATATCGAGCTGAAGACTTTTACTCTGGAATAAGGGAGTCAATGAACTTCAGTTAATTAAATCGACAAACAGAACACGAAGAAGAAAACGGTAATTTATTCAGTTTGCACAAAGCAATTTACCGATTTGTTGGAATCTGAAGAAATCCCCAGGGCTTTCTCCAAAGAGGTCCTGTACTTCTCCATCCGCAGAGAGAAATCTCTGTACCTCTTATCCACTGCAGTGACACATTTTTTTATCTCGGCCGCATGGGCATGCCCCTTTTCACAAAAGCCATCGGCCAGCTGTATCAATAGCTTCACTCTCTCTTTGGTTTGCTGCAAAAAAAACAACAGGAAAGTATTGTGAAGCAAATGAACCCAACCGCCAGAAACCAGAAACACAGTGGCAACTTGCCTACAACTCGGAGCTCTGAACAGGAAAATCACTGCTGGCGGCAGAAACCGAGACGAAAACCCTCAGTCCATCTAATTCATCTCCCTGATCCTAGACTGGCTACCCTTCCTCGGCTCTCCCACCACAATGAAGGCCATTTCTATGACCTCAAGGAAAAAGCCCAGGCTGCCTTCAGACAATGTCTTCATCTAGGAGATGCTCAGTCAAAATCCGCAGAATGAGCAGGCGAACATGCACACAGGATGGTCAGCCAGCAACCCTGACTCTTCTCCCATGAAGGCCGTATGTGCTGGTTACAAGGACACCGCCCGGTCTCACAGTTGTTTTCTCCATGTCCCCAGTGAGACTGAGAGCCCTTTTAGGGGGGCAGCCAGCTGAGAGCCTGGTTTTCCTGAAGCCTGTGTGACAAAGGGCCCCCTGCAGACACAGCCAAATCCCTGAGGAAGCCCCACCACGGACGTTCACCAATGCTTCAGTTCTCAGTAGATCCGGAGAAGGCGACACTAGTCAGGAAGGCGGCTTCACAGAGGCAATTTAAACTTGTTCCTTGTTAATAAACTTTCTCTTAAAAATAAACTTATTTCATTTTATATGTATTTAGAAAAGAGCTTTAAGTATAATTTTCTTGCTTTTTATAGCTAGGGATGACCATAAGACACTGGTTCTCTCTACATACAGATATGGCAGGAACTTCTCTCAACTCCGGTTTTCCAACAGATCTTCTGCCACGTCTACTTCATTTATTATTCCTTGCTGCTTACAGATTGTTACCATTTCACCTGTTATTACTGCTTAGGCTTCCTTCAACACTCCCGCTGGCATTTCACATGAGCAGCGTTTCTCTTCTGCTACGGGACCTGCTTTTCTCAGGCTTTAACTAGAAAATCGTTATGACTAATATTCAGGAAATTGACTTTAAAAATCTCTCAAAGGGAGAAGGTCAGGGTTCAAAACCTGGATAAACTATCTTAGTTTGTACAATGAAAGTTTTGACCAGGATTCACTAGGCAGCCGGCAGAGCCAGCTGTTAACATCCCTCAACCCTGCATGAACCTCCAGGCCTCCCCAACAGGGTCCAGCTCGCCCACCCCCACTCCAGGCTTGCTCGCCTTCTGTTCTGTGCACGTTCTGTGCACCGTGCCCCTTCCGCCAGGATGCTATTCCCCTAGATGTCTCAACGGCTCCTTCAAGTCTCTGTTGAAATAAAGGTCACTTCTCAATGGGCCTCCCTGACTCCCTTAGAAGTGCGACTTGCCTCCCTGCCCCGGGCTCCCTCCCTCCCTCCCTCTGCTCTGCCGCAAAGAGTGCATCACCTCCAAGTTGGTGTAATTTACTTGTCAAGATACTTTGTCTCCACCCCGGTGAAAACATGTACCTGCCACTGACCAGGGGTGTGTGCTGGTTTTGCTCACTAATATCTCACACACTTTCTTTGTGTCCGGCACATGGTGGACACTCAGCAAATATTTACTGAGATAATAAATTAACATTAGGTTCCTCATGTAAGCGTGTATACACCTGTAACTTTAATGGGAGTGGTAGTTACTGTGAACTGGCATGAGTACACTTTACCAAAAATCACAGGAAAACAGAACTCAAGGGACATCACTAGTATCTGTGGGGGAAAAAATCACTTTTGCGAACTGTATCAAAGCTGTTTATTGGAGAAAGTCAGCAAAACTTAAAACACTCTGAAAATTTTTAGGGCCTTCGTCTTGTGTGGAAATGAACTCAAGCAGAGCGGGCTAGAAGGAAAATGTCTGCCAAACAAACCTCCAGGTATCAATACGACACCTTTCTGGCTGTGTTAAGACAGGCCTAATTACACACCAAGAAAAGTCAAAGCTTCAGACTTGGGAGCATAAATTTCAAAAAGGATGTAAGTTAGAAACATCAATAAATTTCAGTGTCAGAGGGAATTAACATGACATACACAGGATTTTAAAAAAATCAGGTTGCCTAGAGAAGGTTTTGCTGCTATTTGTCAAGATACTAACTTTTCGAAAAGCATAGAAAAGTTGTGTTTTACCACCATTTAAGCATTTCTTTTCCACTGTCATGAAGGGTACTGCAAATAGCTGGCACTTGAGCAACTCAAGGGTTGGGGCACTGACCCCTACCTTATTTCTCACTACCCCCCACCGGCCCCCCCAAAACAGTCCACATCCACAGACTGAGCCAACTTCGGACCATGCAGTACTGGAGGACACAGTTACTGAAAGAAACCCGAGTATCAGGGGACCCACACAGCTCAAACCCACATTGTTCAAGGGCCAACTGTGTATCTTTAAGGGGTTAAGAAAATTATTTCATGTTTTAAGTGGTGGGGACACAGAAGTGAAGATAAAAAAGACAACGTGGCTTGCTAAAATTAAAACAAAAAACAAAAGCGACCAAGAAACTAAAGGAAGATTTCTGTGTACTAGGTCTAACACACGAGACAAAACAGATTAGTTGCCAGCATGTAACTCCAATAGGCTGATTCTGATTATATGAAACCAGAAGTAGAACAAAGATTTCCTATATTCAAGGCCTGGCAGATCGATAAATCGTCCATGTGTAAATGTCATTTAAACAAAAAATGCTAATGAGATGGTCAACAGCTTCTCGGTGAGGCCTGCTATCAAAGATGGCAACCCTCCTCTCCCCGTGGCTGCCTTTTTCTCTTATTTAACGTGTATGTACGTATATTTACTTATTTATCATGTTATGCTGGTTTCTCTAACTAGCACGTGTTGTCCATGAGTCCAGCGCCCAGTGTAGTTCCCGGCACACAGATGGGACTCAATAAAAAATTGAATGAATGAATGGTGTGGTTAAAATTAAGTGGGACGAATCTGCTAACCCATGATTTTTATTTCAACTGTATTCTGAAACACTTTCACACAATTCAAAATTCAAAAGGTGTGAAAGGATACAAAGTGCAAAGTCTTCTCACTCCAGTTCGCCTGTTAGCGCGTGTGTCGCTGTTCTGGTGTGTCATTCCCAAGAGGTGTCGTTAGGTTTGAGCAAGTGCGTGCATGTGGATGTGTATTTTTTCTCCCTTTCATTTCTGACATAAATGCTCACCTGTGATAAGCCCTGCTCGGCACCCAGCGCTGTTCATGTAACAGCTTGCGCAACCCGTCACTGCGGGGCACAGCAGCCTCCTTGTTTGCACGACAGATTGTTATGAAAGCAGATTTTTCTTTTCTTTTATTTATTTATTTTTTTCCTTTACAAATTCTGAAGTTTTATTATCTCAGATTTTATACGAAAAAAGAGCCTCAATGAACTTACGTAATTTTTCTTTCTCCTTTTGCCCTGTACTCTTAAATCAGGCCATCAGTCATCTTACCACATGCCCACTACCCAACAAGCAAAACCTGAGTAGAGCAAACATGCCTGTTTTCAAAACTGTGCTTACTCTGCACTATTCAAGTTCTTCTTTCTAACCAACTTCTGTATAAGCGGGAACTTAAGACTGAATTTTACAATAAGCCCTTCTAGTCAATCCTGATGCATAAGGTCCACACTCTGATTGGAAGAAATACTACTTTCTAGAGATTTCTGTTGAGACCACAGTCTTCAAGCAGCCACTGATCTGTTTTCTGTCATTTACAGATAACAGCGTTTCCAGACCTTTATATAAACCGAATCACACAGTGTGTATGGCTCTTCTTTGGCTTCCCTCTCTCTTGGATTAGTATGGAGGAAGGGACATGGCAGGACTCCATGAAAGGTGTATCATTAAAGTTTTAGGAACCTGCCAAACCGTACACCACAGGTGTTCTATGCTTTGGCATTCCCACCAAGGGTATGTGAGGGTTCCTATTCTTCTTGCCAACATCTGACATGGTCAGTCTTTTCAATGTTAGGTGGGCAGTGGTAGCAGATTTTTATTTTAAAAGTATACAAACTCTAATCTGAACGACCTCATCTTTAGGTGTAATCAAGGAACTAGAGAAAAACAAAGGCAGGCTGAACGCTTAAGCCCACATGCTCAAAAGACTTGCCGAGCTCTCTGGTAATCAGAAACCCAAAAAGGCTGCACATTCGATGGTCTCGGGCACTTCCTGGCAACGTAAGGTATCTGGCGCTGGGGACACAGGAGATGGGGAATGCAGTGTCCATGGGGGTAGAAGCACGAAGTTTAGAAAGTCTTAGTGAGGCAGTGGGTTCCCAGCTTCAGCACGCAAAAAAATCACCCAGGGAGCTTTCTAAACTTGCTCCCTTTTAGGCCTCGCTCCTATAGAGTCCAAGTCAATACATGTCAGGTGGGGACAGATACCTGCTTTTAAGTAAATGCCGTGGCCTGGGTGCATGTGGTGCTTGCAAAAGCATTTTGAGAAATTACTGCCTTAGGTTGCAAAGGACTCAAGCTATGTCTTAGCTAGTCCGGGGAGGCTTAATTTCCACTAACACAAAAAATGTTACAACACTAATTATGTAACAACCAGACTGGAAGAAGCCACATCAGAGCAAAGGATTCTCTACATGATAAAAGTGGCTTCTTAGACGACACTAAGATAGGGGGACAGAAGGTGAGCAAGAACTTCATTTCAACAAGAAAAACTAAACGACGTCTCCAAGCACCAAAGCAGGTGCTTTCTGATTAAAAGAAAAGCAGCCAGAAACCAAAGGGGAAAATGCTAAGGAAAAAAAAAAAAGTGAGAGGTGTTCTTTTCAAAATCTACCAATTCCTGTCAGCAAAACTGATTCAATGAAACACCCAATGAAAGGAACCATTCCGTATATTTGGGAAACATAAGGGTCAGATGCCACCTATGATTTTAGATGCTTATTTTTAAATAAAATGTAAGGGTGAAAATAAGCCTGTTACTGTTCATTCTTCCAAAACCACAACCTGAGTTTGAGGAAAAGGGAAATTTAGGAATAATGGAGAAATCCTTTAGTATAGGCTCCCACGGTGGAACAGAGCTACCCTGCTACTCAGCTCTAGACAGTGACGTTCACATTATATTCTGTGTGCATGGCGCCCCCTGGAGTTGTGCAGTGAATGGACTATTTGGCTGTACACAGTCTGCAGAGTGGAACATTGATGGAAATTTAAGTCAGTGAAAAGCGGCACATCTTAAATCTACCTTGGAGAGGTATCTTAGGATTTTTCTCACTATCTTCATAATCAAGGACATTTTAAAAAAAATGTAAATCATGTAACGCAGAGAATAACTATACTTTTTATCTACCTATTAACAAAAATGAGAATTACACAGCCAAAGGTGTGCTGTATCTAGAGGAAAGGAAAGACATGCTCCTTACCTACAGAGGCAGGACAGCTCAGCTCCCCTCAACCAAGGGGGTGGGTAGGTGCCCCTCAGAGTGCTCATGGCCCCTCTGGGTGTGGTCCTGGCCTCCCCCAGGTATCCCCATCGAGCCCCGCGGTGGTCAGTCTGTCTGCAGCCCCACTAAGACTGGGTGCTCCTCCAGAATAGAAACCAGGGGTTCCCACAGCCCAGCATTCAGAGGCTGAACAAATAAACTTAACAGCTTGGCTAGGGTGGTGGGGGCGGGGGGGGCAACCAGGAGAAGAGGCTCAGGAAGGCCAGCAGGATGAGTCAGAAATTGCTACAGAAAATACAAAAAACTACTAATAAACATAATACAAAGGAGCTGCTGTCATTCCAAATGATTTAAAAAGTCCCCATTGATTTGTTTCCAAAGCCAAGTTAAGGGCCACACAAGAAAATCAATCATTTTACTTCCTAGGAACACCTCCTTTTAACCAAAATTATTACCCAGCTTGATCATTTATTTCTCACTCTAAAATTTGAATAAATTTCCACTTTCTCTAAAAATTTAAATCGATCATCAAAACAGAGGCACTTCTGCAAATAGTACAAAGAATGTATATTCAAAACTTTGAAAAACAAAAACACCACAGGTTGAGAACGGAAGCCTGAAAGCCTCAAAATTGTTTGGAGGTAAAAGGAACCAACTTCTGCCGGGTATACTTTAATTTGGAAAACTTTCACATCACTGTGTTAATTCTTACATATCTGCTTAAAAATACAGTCACATGCAGCACACGTGCCAGAAGGATGTATTTAATTCTATTTTGAATTTCAGCTGAAAAGTGAAAAAGCCTCCAGTTTTGTAAACTCATGAGCAGCCACTGAGAGCTAACCGACCCAAACTCTGCAACTACGAAACACAGGCAGCTTCATGCAGGAGGCTGGACCCGATGCTACCGCAACGATTTTCATCGCCCAAAGGCAAGGGAAGAAAACACGCACCCCATACATCTAAGTCAGGCTGCTAACACCGGTGCTCCATTAAAAACAGCAAGCACTCGGAAAACACCTCGGAAAAGAACATGGACAGAAAACGAAGGGAAGAATCATGGAAAGGACAAAGAAGAAAGAAAAACTCAGAGGAAGGAGGCAGGAGGCATCTGCAAGAATCAGAGGAACGACAGGAAAGAGAAACGAAGGGACGACTCGGGACAGGTGTGAAGGCTTTAGAATTACCGCTGCGTTCACATCTAACAGGCCACTGGGCGCACCCTGGTCCTCCAATTCCATAAGGTATTTGTTTCTTAAGCAGTATTTTAAAGCAATACCTTATTTACAGGAAGCGTCCTGCTCTAGGCTATTCTGGAAAAACCCAGGCAGACCTCCGGGCCCCTGGACAGCAGTGCACTTGCCTTCGCGGTTATCTGAAACTCCTCGTGCTCCTTCAGCAGCTCCTGGGTGTGCTGGATGCTCGAGCCCGTGGAGGTGTGCGTGGAAAGGTAGAACTCCCCGTTGTCGTGGATCCACTCCAAAGCCTAGAGCGGGAAGGAGAGGAAAAGCATTCACAGTGGAACCCAGGGCAGGGAGTCCCGATGCCTCGGACTCTCATTTAAACGTGAAGTCACGAGCCCGGGCTGGCACACATCAACAAACACTCCCTCAGAGAGAGACATGCTTCTCAAACATGTGTCTTAATTCCGAAATTAAAAGGAAAAAAGACATTCTAGAAAACTGTGATCAGGTCACTTAGGCAGCAACAAGTTCGAGAGTTTCTGAGTACAACGAACAGCCGCCTTGAAGAACACCGAGACCGTGTGGGTAAGGGGGTGGCCTGAAGGCCACCCATTACAAAGCACTGAGATGCTCCTGTCCCTGGGACTTTAGGCCCTTACTGGGGTGTTCTAACTACAAAATGAAAAATAAAGCAGATGCAAATCTCCAGCTTTCCAATGTGTAACTTCAGGTCTTTTTTCCTAGCCCTGCCTTCAGCAAGTATTCAGGTGCGTGTCCACTTTATTTGCTTTCTGGGGGCTCCTGCAGAGGGCCCCCATATGCATAAATGCGCACTGGGAGACACAGGCAGGAGATGTGGCTTAATCTCCCAGCTGTAGCAGAGAGCTGACCACACCTGGGAGGAGACCGGCAGGCTCAGATTACAACAAAACCAGAATGACAGTCTAACTCATGTGTTCTTTTGTTTTTAGATGGAAGCCATTTTTTTCTTCTGTTTTCACCTTTCTGAAGTGAAATCAGACTTTGGTAAACATACACATCTAAAAAAACAATACCATGGGAAAAAGAAAGAACAAAAACATAGACATTTTTCTATCTGCCCTTTGTAAACTGAGTCATCCGCTGCGATTTGCTGCTGTTGGAACAGAAATATCACTGTCTCTTTCAGATGTCACGCATTTGATGGCATTTTAGAAGAAAAAACAAAAACGAAAGCACCGAGCCGGGTTACTTACCATGCGGCTTCCTGGCTGGGAATTTACTTTTGCTACACCCGCCCAAGCATGGCCATCCCGTCTCCGAAACAATGTTGACACTGATACTGAATCAAGGCAGAAAGCCATTTTGCTCAGTTTATTCAAAGGTCCCTAGTTCTCCCGTTCATAGAGCTAATCGTGCCTGTGTGGGGCTGGGGGTGGGAGAGGCTCCAGCCCTGCCAGTGTGACTGGGAAGAAACATGCACAAAGGACCAGTGAGAGAGTGGGGAGGCCAGCGAGGGTGCCTAATCTAAGCAGGGGCCCGCAGGCTGAGAAGGGGTGGGCTAGGGAGGAAAGGGGGTGTGTGCTGAGGGGCAGGCTACGGAGGATGGTAAGGGGCCCTTGGTTGTCACTGGTGGATCTTGGACTTCTGCCTGGGACTGCGGGGAAGAGAGACTGGAGTGGAGAGTGAGTGGGAGAAGCAACACCAGTCAGCACACCGGTTCAGAGGTGCAGGCAGGACACACTGGGTTGTCTCCTGTGATGGCTCTGGAGGGGCGGAGAGAGGGCAGACAGGCCACACTGGGCCCCAGGGAGGGGGTGAAGGTGGACAGGTGAGAGAAAGGTAGGAATCAGGCAGGGGGGGGAGTCCTGAGTCCAGATCTGCTTTCGTTAAGGCTTAAGTCGAGAGAAGCAAGGAGGGAGCTGGGGCCGTAAATCTGGAGACCAGAAATGAGGTCAGGGCCAGGAGACACCAATGGCAACAGATAAGGAGAGAGAAACAAGAACAAGCCCTGGACTAAAAGCCAACATTCAGAGGTGGAGATAAGGGATGTGGGCTCGGACAGCCCCGGGGAGCAGCTGGAAGTCACCTGCCACATCCCCACCAATAACCTCAGGGCACCACCCTGAAAACTGCAAGTCAGCCTGCGACCACCAAGATGGGTCTGCTAGAAGCCACTTCCTGTGGAACTGCTGCTACAGGACAGACCAGCACCCAGTAGGGCCACAGGGCTGACAGGGCATCGTCTGTAATGGCATGAACTGAATGATTTTATTTTTGGCAAATGAGCGGACTTTAGGAAAAAACAACTGCACGTTTCATTATTTGTCTCCATCAAAGGAATTATTTACAGTTTTGTTCTCTGTAGCTGAATGACTCTTCATCTTTCAACAGAGAGATAATAAAGGCATGAGAAAAGATGATGATATAATCTCTAATCAGGAATAAAATCAGGCCCCCATAAATCTGAAGTGTGGTTGGATTACCTTTAAATAAAATGTTAAGAAAACGGAACCTAGACATTAAAATACACCCCTGCTTGTCCCTCCTGCTGGGAATCTGATGACTGCACCTGGGCCAGTCAGCCAGGGTGGGAGAGGCCGCGTCCGGGGTCCGTGGTCTCCTGCTGACGCCCTGGGAAACTGAGAAGTTCGGGGAGCAGGCCGCCTAGCTCGGGGCTGATGCTTACCAAGCTGGGACAAAATGCGCTCTCCAAGTGGGGACGCTGTGCTGAGGAGCGTGCGGTCTGCCGTGGGCCAACCCGGCTTTATCAAGTGCCTACTCTGCGCCAGGCACACGCCAGAGTCCAGGTAGACCCAGAAGACAGTGCAGGTCAGATGGGGTCACCCGGGACCAACGGCTCTGAGAGGTCCCTGTGATGCAGGGGACGCCAGGGGGCTCACGGGGTCCCAAGAACAAGCCTCCCCTCAACTCCCTCCTGCCCCTTCGAGTTCCAGACTCACAATTTACACATTCTTATGCTACTGTTAATTAAGGCCACAAGTGACAGACATCTTTGTGTTCAAGTTAGGATCAGATAGACTCTACCCTAAAATGATCTTCCATGACAGACAATCCAGGCAGAAGCCCCTGATTCCAAAGTAACTTCAGAAGAGGACACTGCACATGCACCCCACTGAGGCCTCTGCCTCAGCCAAATGCACGAACCTTTTTTGACTATACTGAACTAGCAGAAATTCTCCACATTTCTTACCTAATTTTAGCTCAATTTACCTGGAAAACAAAATTCTATCTTGAAAATACAAATACGGCAACATAAAAAAACTGCCCACCATAGAATTTACACAAGCCCAGAACCAAGATTCCACACGGACTTTAACTCAACGTGATCATGACCATTTGTCCTTCGCCGTGGGTCTGAAGCACGAGGTGCCGGCCATGGGGAGCACTGAGGGCACACGTGTTGAGTGCAAAAATCACCGAGTGACACTTTTACGAGGTTGTGGGGTTCTCTTTTTAAGACAAACTGTTAAGTAAAAGGTGAGGTTGTTTCGATCACTAGAAAGTGGCTCTCAATCTGCTGAAACTTCAGAAGTTGCCCGTCTGAGGATGGAGGCCTAACCCAGGGAGGAGGGTGCCGGGAGGCCCGGGCCGGGGCTGACCTGCTTGGCGCTCCGTTCGAAGACCACGTACTGCTGGCACTGGTCGAGCCGCCTCTTTCTCATGGTCCAGTAGTGCAATACCCTGTTCTCCCGCTGGAAGAGCTCATTCAAGATATCTGATAGAGGAAAGAGAAAGCCGTATGTTGGTGCTTGCAGTCAACAAAAACACCTGGAAAATCCCACTTATTTTTACTGAAAGACTTTCAATGCAAATGCCATTGCAAGACAGTATCAAACACTCAGCTGCACGGCTCACCTGCCCAGTGTTCTCAACACGCATGTCAGTCAGACCTCTCCTTAGTCCCCGACCCCAGTTTCTATCCTACAATCAAGATGCTTAAGGTTGGCCTCTAATGGTCAGTTGGGTCAGCGGGACATGCTACTGCGCCCCCTGCTGGAGGGATCTGACAATGGCTGGTAAAACACCACTGTTAGATATTTTGTGCAAGACCGTTAGAACTTCCCTGGAGAAGGAATTTAGTATGCTTTAAAAGATGTCAGTCAAAATAGTGGGGTCCTAGAAGAAAACAAAGGGTTTTAAAAACAAAACCAAAAACATAAACCCTTAGGAGAGGGAAGAACACGAAGTTGAGTAGCATGAAGCTAGAAAGGCAAATTAAAAAAAAAAAAAAAAACCAAATGGAGCACAGCCTCTGCAGAGAGTAATCTGGCAACAGGTAATGACACTGAAGTGTGCATACCCTCGGACCAGGAATTTACCTTTCAGGGGTATGGCACTTGCACAAGCTCTCAACACGGTCTGTACACAGGCACACAAACACTGAGGTGTTGTGTGGAAAAGCTGGCAGGTACCGGCCCATGGATTAGGGGTCAGGTTAATCAATTACAAAGTCACTACACTAGACATTAAAAGTAACAGAGCAGATCTCTAAATTCAGACATAAAAAGACGACTAAGATTATTACTAAGTGAAAGAAGCAAATTACAGGGGAATATGGTTGCATCTTGGTTAAAAACAAACAAACAAACAAACAAAAAAAACCCCAAAAAAATCCAAAACCGAATGGGTGAGTGGAAGATACAATTAGGTAATTTATACACATCTTCCATCTTAAAAATTCTTTACAGTGAGTCTGTTTCACTCCAGAAGTTTATAAAGTAAATATATTACAAAAAAAAAAACCTTTAGAAAAAGTTTCCCCAGACTGAATTTTGCAAATCAAATAAATGGTACCTAGAATTTAACTTTATTGGAAAACTTTAAAAATATTAAGTTTTCCACAAACATCTGATGAGTTCCTCAGAGGCTCAGGGCTTTGTGAGAACAGGAGTCTACATGCAGAATTTCCTGCCAGCTCAGCGGTCCTGCCGCCTTACTCTGCTTCACTGAAAAAGCGGATTCGTTTCGTGAAACAAATTAAGACTGAAATTTGAAGCCCATCAAAAAATTAAGTTAACACTTAAATGAAAACATCACACAGATGACTGGATAAAGAAGTTGTGGTATATTTCTACAATGGAATACTACTTAGCCATAAAAAAGAATAAATAATGCCATTTGCAGCAACATGGATGGACCTAGAGATTGTCATTCTACATGAAGTAAGCCAGAAAGAGAAAAAATACCATACGATATCACTTAAAAAAAAAAAAGACTCTATGAACTCATCTACAAAACTGAAACAGACTTGCAGACATAGTAAACAATCTTATGGCTACCGGGGGAAGGGGGTGGGAGGGGATAAATTTGGGAGTTTGTTATTTACAAATGTTAGCCACTATATATAAAAATAGATTTTAAAAAGTTTCTTTTGTATAGTACAGGGAACTATGCTCAGTATCTTGTAATAACCTTTAACAGAAAAAATATGAAAACAAATACATGTATGTATATGCAAGACTGGGACATTGTGCTGTACGCCAGAAACTGACACATTCTGATTGACTGTACTTTAAAAAAAAAAATCACAAACAAAAATCAGTATAAGTTTTTTTAGTCTCTTATTTCCACAGCCTCTGTTTGGGGTAGGACTGATCCCCGGCAGGTGAGCAGCCAGGCAGTGTGACAACTGCCCTCTTGGGATGAGGGCTGGAGACCACCTGGGCTTCCTCAAGCTCCCGATGCCTCTGGGGTCACAGTGTCTCTTCTGGCATCATCACCTTGACAAGGACTTACTGCATTATCCCACACACAAACCTTGCACCCCCAAGCAGACAGTAAGAGAAACAGGACATATAAAAAAAATTCTTCATAGCCTCCACCACTGTGATCAACAGCAGCAAAGCGTAAGGACCATGTAGTGAGTGAGCATGTGGAACACGCTTTCCTTTGCACACGCACACACCCAGCAAACTAGTACAACCCAGAAAGGATCGTAACACCTCTGATCAGAGGAAACAGATTACAACCAACAACCAAAAGCAACACTGAGAAACAGGAGAAAGGAAATGATTTTTATATGAAATGAGTCAAGTGCACTGATCACCAGCTTGAATAGCCTGTCATCCATGAAGCCTTGCTCCTGCTGGAAAACAGCTGCTCTGGTTAGTCCCTTACTGTCCTGAGAGAGAAGCTCGCTGATTAACAGCTATGTATCTCATCTGCAGAGCTCAAAGGATGTACTGGTGTGACCAAGAACTAGCCTGTGATGACGAACAGGTGAATCAGATGAACCGGGAGTAGAAAGTAACGTAGAAAGTTTCTGCCAATCCTATTGTTTCCAAAAAAAGTCTAAGATGAATCATTTGTTAACTGGTTATTGCACATTTTTTTCCTATTAAACTCAGCTCTAGGTGTGCAGGCTGTGTGATCTGTGTCCCCTCATCTATTTAGGACTGGCTCTGAGGCTCAGGGTGAGGATTCCAGCTGATAAAAACTGCCTGGATTTCAAGAGTGTTGTAAACAACTCCCATCACTTTCTGAGGCTCCATTTTCATGGAACTTGTAAAAAAAAAATATGATTAAATTAACTTTAAAAACAATATATCACCTGGATGCATTTTCTCTGCAAATACTCAATCAGAATTCTACAGAATAAAAATTATCAGTCTTCTTAACTTCCACCTGTACCAATCCTACCTACAGTTTAGTATAAATGTTCCCAGGTCTTTTTCTATGCATTTACAGGCACCTAAGTGTGTGTATGCTTTTGAAGGTTTTTAAGCTCAAATGATACCCATGTATATAATATTTTTTTGCAACTTGCTTTTATTAACGATGCTTTAAGTATACAAAACTGTTAATACATACAACAATGAAATGGGTATATAATTTTTGTGGGTTAAACTTCTAAAAATATTTGGCCTGTAGATAATTCCAATTTTCATTTTACCCCTGGATTTATATTTTCACTTACTTTCAACAGAACACTGAGTGCCAACAAGTATCATCCTGAATGCGGCATTTTCTCCATTTACGTTCTTCCACTTTATTCAATAAATTACCAATCTATATATTTGTTTAATATTTTATTATTAACCTAAGGTAACTGATGAGAACATTAATAATATGAAATGGACATTTAAAATGGAGCCCTGGGCCGAGATTTCAGAACACGTCTTGTCAAGCTCCTCCCACGGCCATCAGTCCGCTGCCTCCGAGTTATACTCACTTTTCACTTGTTGTTCCGGGGCTTTGATGTGTGTCACCATCCCAGGCATGTTCACGCTGTTCCTGTGCAGGTACTTCAGGAAGACGTCTGCGTTCCTCCTAGCAAGTGTGCAAGCCTAAGGAACAATGCAGAGCAACGTGTTCAAGGGACTTATCACAGACGTGTGTCTTCAGTGCATGTGGATGACAACGTCACATGGCTCCAACATGCATCTTAACCTCAAGCGTTCAGCTGGCCAACTTGTGGCCTGGAGAATACATAAGTTAAATCCTATTTCTATTGAAAAAAAAAAAATCTTGGAGCCTTTGCTCTGATGAAGCTAGCTACTGTTTTGGGAGCTGCCCCATGGAGCGGTCCAGGTGGCAGGGGACTGAGGGTGACCACTGGCCTGCAGCCAGAGGGGAAGTGAAGCCCTTCCCCAGGCAAGCCTTGAGGTGACCGTGTCCCTGGCCAACACCCTCATCGCAGACTTGGGAGAAACTGTGAGTCAAAGGATCCAGCTACACTGAACCTGGATTTCTATAAAGGGCAGACAGGAAATACTTCCCGCTCTCCGAGTCATGCAGTCTCCATCTCTCTGTTGTAACCACTGGACCTGCTGCAGATGATACGTGGTTGGGAGTGGGCAGGTTTAGCCCTCGGTTTGCTTACCCTTGGTTTACGCCACTGAATCTGTGGGGGTGGTTTCCCAGGTGGTGCTTCTGTGGTAACAGAAAGCTGATACTACGTGTTTATAGACCAAATAAGGAATTTCATTAATGTATCAAAAAATAAGAGTTTTATGTAAGAGATGAGGGATATAAACATGAAAATACTTCAGGAAAAAAATCCTTTAATTATATTAGAATTGGAAATATCTTGCACATTTCCTAGCCCAGACCTGGAATCAGTCTCTTCCTTAGGGAGCTCAGTCCCCTTCTTGTGGTGAACGGTACTGAGAGGCCACAGTCTGGGCACCAGGGATGAGCATTATCTCTGGGCTGGCCATCGTTTCCAGGCCTTTTCAGTAGACGAAGTTGGGATACTTTTTTCTTTTTTTAATTAGGGGAAAAATACATCATGAGTCTCTACTGATAAGTCTGAAGTAAGCTGTCACATCAAACAGCAAGGAAGTCGTGAAGACCACTGGGGTTACATCAAAAGGGTATCTGAGCCAACCTGACCTGCAGGGGCTCCCACGAGTGGGACAAGTTGAATAGAAAAAGACAAATGACTGTGATTGATTGAAACACATCAAATACATTAAAATCCAGGATGACAGTTAAAAAAAAAATCATGTGCAGAAGTTTATAGGGCAACAAGCTCATTACTCTGAAAATCATAAATAAAGGGAAAGAATCAAGCATTTATCCCACCTGTTTCGGACAAACTCTTTTTGAGAGTCACCAGAGAGCCGAGGAGGGAATAATTCTAGCTAATCAAGGCAGAAGGAATGACAGAATATCCCCATTCTGCAATTCCTACTGAAACAGCATCACCCGTGGCTACTAAGCCTGGTCAGTGAAGGCCGCTGGGGAGGGACACAGCGGGCGAAGTGGACTCACCACGGCTGAAGCCCTCACATCACAGGGGCAGAAAGAACGGACCTGCGCATCCTGATGCAAGGCCGCCGGAGGGACAAGCACCGCCACCAGGTGCGCCAAGTGCCCCCAGCCCTCTCACTCAAGCCTGAACCTCCACCCAACGAAGGGGAATTCAGAGAATCCATGATGGTGTAAATGACTCCACGTGATGCAACTGCCAAATGCTGAATGAGGGAAATTCCACAGTACGAACAACTTATTTCTTCAATTAATAAATGGTAATGAAAGGGGAGGGGAGGGTTTAGACTAAAAGAGGTTTAAGAGACAAACCAAATCAGTGCATGGGTCTTGTTTCAATCTTGATTAAAAACACATATAAAGTCACATTTTATGGGACAGAGAAATTTGAACACTGCTGGATTTTATATAAGAGTTACTGTTAATGTTTAAGGTCTAATAATGGTGGTACTCCAATAAAAAGATAAAATTAAAAAAATTTTTAAAAGATCTAAACTCTACATTTTTCCTATTAAGATTTTATTCATAAATTCATTCTCTCATTCTCAGCCATCAAGATCTTTTTGTAATCAATCAACCAACATGTTAAATATCCTGTTCAACTTTTTAATCGTGCAAAAGTGTGGCTTACATGCCATATGTTTTCAATAGTATTAGTAAAATAGTATTCCAAAAAAACCATCTAATAATGGTATTATGGTTATAGAATGGTTTTAGAAAGATAGAATATGTTTAGATACATACAGAAGTATTTACAAATAAAAGGATATAATATCTAGAATATAAAATAGTCCGGTAGAGGTGGGCATATGTCCACATGTTGGTAATTAAAGCTGAAAGTACACGGGGGTTCAGTATCCATTCTCTCAATTTTTGTATGCATTTTTAAACTTACATAATTAAAAAGTTTAAAGATATCCGATACACTGAATACATAATCCTAGTTGAAGGAAGGAATCTGAACAGGTCTGTGATGATCTATATTTTATAGTTTAATCTATTTTTCTTAATTATATTAACTAAGTAGTATTCAATTTTGTTTTAAACTAAATGGAGTCCAGAGAAAGAGGCAAATCCTAATGACTCCAACTCAGAACATCCCAACAGCGGTCAATGTTTCGTAAACTTAAGCAGCAGTGACAAGGAGGGGGGCTTTCAAGTCCTGTCTGGAATAGTTACAACTAAGACTCCGGGAAGCTCCAACTGCTTCCCCACCTTGATTTGCTTAAAAAGAAAATCTCTGTGGTGGAAACTCATAATAAGTTACTAGATAAGAATTTTCAAAGAGTTACAGTTGATTCTCCTAGACTAAACCATAACTCTCTCAGGACAGACATCATCTTCAGAAATGAAACAGATTATTACGTGTAACAGGAAACGGTGCTGGCGAGGCGGGGATGCTGGAGCACTGAGGAAAACTAAACTAGATTAAGCAGCTATGAAAAGTCGACACCACACCTGTGTTTAACAGGTCTGAGTGGCAACCAGCAGAACCTCAGAAGATCTTTGTCACAAGTGAAAGAACACAATGTGGAAGCTATTCAGTGTCAGCATTTCTAAACATTGTGACGGCCTTTAAAAATGTAACTGCTGCGAAGCACCGCAGTGACTTTCGCGTGCCTGCATGTATAGATGGCAAAGCAGGCTTGAAAAGCTCCTCACTTAAAGCTTCTCAGAGTTAAAACTTCCAGCCTGGCCTGAACGGAATTAAACGTCTCTTGCAGGAAATAGGGCCTGAGGAGGTATTAGTACCGATCCTGTGAACCACAAGAGGTGTCCTTGCTTTGTGTCTACACTGGGCTCAAACGTGTTCCAAGATAGTCTATTCCTAAAGAGGCTGAATTTTCAAAGGAAGATTATGTTAAGCTCTAGGCATTTTTATTTCACCAGATCACCCTTGTGTGTCTGTTCGGAGTCATCTGGCAGTGTGACTTTCACTCATTCTTTATGTACTCAGATGTCTACCTAGCTCTTTCTCTGTGAAAACTAGAACCGTGTAAATCACAGCTGAGGAAGACTTCCAGGTCTTCTTTAATCAACTAACTTATTACTGATACAGTGTCACCCCCATCACTTTCCACCCAAGGGGAGCGTTGCGCAGGGCTGTGGGAGGACCACTGACTGACACCCGACGCTCTACCCTCTCAGTGAAGCCCTGGGGCCTGCGTCCACCGCTCAGTGGGGCCCCCGCACCCGGAAAGCCAGCCCTGTACCTTCAGGAACGCTTCCTTTTGTTCCAGGTGCTTGCTGATCATGGGGGTGACGTGGTCCGTCTCAGAATTGGGGCCCAGTTTGTCGGCCCCTCCACACCAGTCCTCTTCTCTCTTGTACTCCTGCTCCAGGCTCTCGAGGACACTGCAGACCTGCGGCAGGAGAGAGTTCCAGGCTCAGAGGGACCGCCCGGCAGCTGACAGCACAGGCCAACCTCAGGCAACAAGTGCCGGCCTGAGGACCAGGGCTGTCGGAAGGACACAGGTTGGGCTCAGGGTAGCCAGGCCTTTCAGAACAAGGACAAAATAAAAGCTGAACTTCCTGTCTCTCTCTTCCCTGGGTCAGGCCATATATTTAAATGAGAGGAAAAGGGCTGTCTCCTCAGATCCTTTCCAACCCATTATTCCTTGGTGTGGAAGGTAAGCAAAAACCATCTTGATTCTAGAAGGCTGCTTTTCTCTGATTGACTAGGATTGACTAGTTCAGTAATGACCAGTGGGTTAACAACCCAGTTGTCCGATGAATCCGGGCTCAGAAGGAACCGTCGGTGGGCCCCCTACCTGCTCTGAGGTCTTGTAGAAGGCGACGGACGCGTTCACCAGCTTGAGCCGGTCTTCCATCTTGAGCATGAGCTGCTGCCAGTGGGAGGCCACCTTCTCGGCGCAGTCCCTGATCATGTCCATGTCATAGTGGTTGGCCTGCAGCATGGCTTCTGCCTTCTGCTGCACCTGCAGTGCACTCTGGTGTGTCTTCTAAGGAGAGGGAGACAACGGGGAAGGCTTGTCAGCGGGGGTGACACGCACATACTGGGAAGGAGCTGAGAAGGCCGTGGTTCTTCTGTTCTGCTCGCTTTCATGGAAACAACTTCAGTTAATACTCATTAGGACACTCTGAACAACACAGGAGACAGGTTAGTAAGGAAAAAGTTTTGATGCTTGGCAACAACTGTGTTTATATTTACCCAATGAAGGATGAAATGCGGTAAGACTTTTCAGAAAGGATCTGGTTGTGGGGTTTCAGCCTTTTGAGAAATAGCAGGAAAAACCCTTAGCAGCCAGTATTCCCAAAAAGCTGTTGAAATGTTCCAAGTTTATTATTCCTATTGAGCCTTCTTATAATAGTAGCCAGAGGCTCATGAATAAGTGGAGAAAAAGGTGGCTGAAGTGAATGCTCTTTATTTCATTTTTACTTTCAACTTTGGACTCCAGTAAAAAGTTTTCAAGAACTTTTGATTTAAAAAAAAAAAAAAGAGAGAGAGAGAGAAACATACTTAAAAGCTAAGAATGAACCAACTGTGTTCCCGGGAGGTCCATGCCACACAGCGAATCTATCAGAATAACCCGACCGGTCCTGGAAGACCTCCGGCTCACACACCCTCTCTGGAAGCTTCGTGAAGGGCTGAGGCCAGGCCCACTCAGGGAAACCAGAGCACCCGGCGGGCAGCCGGCAGCAGGGCGATAGGTCTCTGGACACAGATCTTTTTTTTTTTTTAAAGCAAACTTTTGCATTTCACCTAAAAAGGTACAAGTGATCCCATAAAACACTGTACCCAGTATAATCCTACCCTTTACCCAGACCAGTGACGTGCACTGGTGATTTCAGGACTAGAAGGCACCTGGCACAGTGGACAATTTTCAAAAGATGCCCAGAGTCTGGGCTTCAAGAAGAAGTGTTAATGTGTGTTCACTGGCACTGAGTAGAGAATAAATTAATTCAAGGAGTAAATTTCTGCGGTCTCCATCTCGGCTGAGAATACATGTATAACAGAGCAGGAAACAAGTTTTCTGCAATCAACTACTCTTTTTTCCCTTCACTTTACTTTGAGACCACGCATCATAACTATGAACTGCCCCTTCCCCCAACCCTCAAAAACTCTAAAAATAATTGGTCTAAACGCCATGAGAGTGAACCTGAGGGAGCCTGGAACTGGCCCGAGGTGTCCTGCTGAAGTCCCGGCACAGCACTGACCCCGTCAAGGCACAAAACCCTCTGATGCGTGACGCTGCTTTTGTCCAGGATCGGGGGAGCCCTGTGCAGAGCACTGTTTATCATAACAGGGAACTGGTGATTTGCACCCAGTCCTGATGAGCCACCCCGAGTGCCCTGCATTTTCCGAGGCTGGTTATGTAGCAGCAATGTGCCTGTGAGACCTCCCAAAACATAAAAAGCCTCCACCAAGACCCCAGCTTGGGCTCCCTGGAGTCGAGCTGTTCCTGATGGGGGAGGTGCATCCTGCTGGCAGGGGGACAGCAGGAGCCACCCCTAGCCTCTGGGGCCCTTGCAGTGAGGCTGCCCTGGCAGGCATGCACAACCTCACTTCACTGCATCACCAGACCACTTCCTCCTCCTGTGATAAACTGTAGGTTTGTAAGCATGGCCATTTCAGAACCTACTGAACCCCATTTGGCTCCCCGGGTCAGTGCCACGGGAGGGGACTTAACAGGCTGGTCCTGAGGCTAGAAAGTGAGGCCAAGCATCCTTACCTCGATGGCATGCTGGAACTGCTCGTGTTCCCTCTGCAGCTGCTCCGCCTCCTGCAACGAGCTGGCCGTGATGAGCCCAGCGTTCAACATCGACTCCCCATTGCGAATCCAGCCCAGGACCTGAAACACAACATGGGAGCTCCAAGTATCAGCCCTACCTCGGGGCATCCATCCTACAGACCAGCAGTGCAGAGGTCCGAGCGCGCTCACGTCAGCTGTGAAGTCCTGCTTCCTCATGATCCTACCGACAACAGCCTGCTACCCGCCAGTGGTATCTGATCACAAGGGCTGCATTTTAAATTTAATTCTGTCATTTTTAGTTTCAAGTGTGAGCTGAAAAAGGTGGAGGGTCCAGTAGATTGACTGCGAGTCCACAGGTCAAAAGAGATTGAGGACCACATGCTAGAAAACTTACCGCTGCAAAGAATTTCCTGACAATCAAGAAAAATACAAAAAAAAAGAAAAAAGAAAAATACTTTTCATTCCTATTTAGTCCTTATGAACATGCAGAATTAGCAAACTACTTGATAAGGGAACTATTTTATTTCACTAACATATTTTCCACTTTAGCATCAGTGTTAACACAGCGTAATAAGCAAAGAATGAATTCAGCTGTGCTCCAGTGCTGGGGTCAAACCACCAGATTCTCAGCATCACAAAATGGTAAGTCAGTCCTAACTTTGGAAGCCACAGAGATTGTAGAAGGTCATTCTGGGCAGTCATTTGTGGCAGAACCTGCTAGTTACCTACCCAACACCTATTTTCCTCATCTCCTTTACTCAGAAAATCCCAACTTCTGGAAGGAACTTAAAACAAAGCCACTTCTCAGCTCTGATGATAGCTTGGTTGCAGATACAATACAATTCTAGCCACTGAGATCAAAGCAGGAGCTTCTGGGGGATTTGGGGAACTCATTTCTTTTTTGATCCGGGTGCTGCCTCTTTCCTGTTAAGCTTTCCCCTCCCTGATACCTGGAATGTGGAGGTGATAGTTGGGGCTATGACAGCCATTTTGCGACCATTCAGTCCCCTCCAATCAAACTAACACACACTTTTCTGTGCATCTACCAGTATCTCATAAAGCTGTACTTTCATGGTTCCCTGCTCATGAGATAAAATGTTACAGACATGCTACATATACATACACATGGAATCCCACAGGCATTGAGCCAAAAACAATCTCTTCCAAATGTTCCCTTTCTATTTTGCTCTGCTGTCTGGGATGTGGCAGTACAGCATCCTGTTGACACGAGAAGACCACAGCCATACACAGCCTGTGATCCTGCCCAGACTGATAATAGTCTTACTAGGCAAAAATAAATCTTAACAGTTATTTAGCCCAGAAAGCAATGTGCTCAGGGTTTGAAGCAAGAGACCACCAATAACAAAATAAGCTAAATGGAGGGTGCTCTCAAGTGGTCCACCTGCTGGGTGACGAAGGCTTTTCCACTGCAGCATAAACACACAGCGGTCCAGGCACTGGCTTGATTTTTACCCACTAGCTGTGGCTGTGTTAGGGTGTGTGTTGTACTGAGTATCAGGACAGCTGTGTTCTGACCCGGGATAATCTCCTCCAATGTGTACGTGTCCGAATTACCAGAAGAACACACAGCGTGTGCTTGTCAACTGGGTCCCCGGGCCTGGCTCTCCATCCAGCTGTCTGTTTACCTGCTTCACTTCAGCCTGCAGGTGGCGCAGCTGCACGCACTGCTCCAGGTGCTTCCGATGCTGCTCAGCTGCTAAATCCAGTTCCTGCTGCTTTTCATGGAGAAACTCCAGCAAGTCCTGGACCCGAGTGGCCATGTCTACATCTCTGTCACAAAGAAGCTCCACGCCTGTGGACACAGAGGGGAGGACCTGAATTCAATTAGCATTTCAACCTGTTCTTCAGTGGCGTACGGCATACACTCTGCATTTCTGAATGACCTGCCCTGCTGGGGCCTAAGCCCTTACTTTGAAGGTCAAGTTCGAGGAAGGCGTAGCCAGCACAGGGGAGCTGACGCCTCCGCATGCGAGTGTCTCAGAGGGTGTATTTGATGTGCTCTACAGCCAAATAGAACATGCAGCGAATCAAACCGAACCCATTTCCCATCAGTCTACTTCTACTCCCACATTGGTAACTGGTGAAAATGACAGGTCCTTTATAAATAAGAGAGTTTTGGTTTGTTTTTGTTGTCCACTGTGTACCCCTTCACTCTTGAGAGAGCATTTAATTTGACCTGTGTAAAATGAGTAACATAGGACGCAGGTTGTTGCAAAGCTTCTAACCCTACAGCGCGCTCTACATTTTTGAGCCTGCAGTGACATCTGCTGGTGAAATAGTAACTAAGACAAAAATAGAAGATGTGAAAATATCTTCTTGGGATTTACATCTCATTCATGGAGATACAATATATAATTTGTAAAATTAAAGTCATGCTACTTGAGGTAACATGTAAAAATATCAAGGGTGGTACACTAATCATGGAGTGATCACATTCTGTGGGTAAAAGAAAGCAGACATTTCCTTTCAAAGAGCAGGTATTTATAACACCTGAATCACAGGAGTAAGTCAACTAACCGCTGACAGCCGTCACACTGAAATAAACTGGACACGCTCCTGCCAGGACACGAAAGCCCCGCCGCCGACCCGGGACGGGACGCACTGCTCACCAGAGGCCTGCACTTCGTTGACGTACTGCAGTAGGTCCTGCCCTTGGTGGATGACATCAAAGGTCAGGTTATTCATGGTCAGAGCCTTGTCCGCGTGGTGCTGGAGGCGCTGCTCTGCTATTGTGAGGTCCTCTGTGTCAAAGTCATTCATCTGCTGAGAAAGCTCATCGTTCCAAGACTCAAGGTCTGAGATGATCTGACAGAGGAAAGGATGTGCTTAGGACCAAGACTTAAAAATTAAGTATCTGCTGTGACATCTCACTGTGTCAAGGAGGGAAGGGACTAATGCGTCTGTGTCAAAAGGTCACAGAAGCCAGTTGATGGGGCTCCTACTGGCCAAAGATGCAACAATTAGACACTAAAAAAATGACCACGAAGAACAAAATACATTAAATATACAGAAGTCCATTAATTCCTAATGATGTCAAAAGAAAAAGAAGAGCGAAAGAACCAAAAACTAAATGAAAGGCTCTTTGGTTCTGATTAAAAGGAAACTTTATCCTAAAAACTGGTCTTTAAAGGAGAAAATTAATTATTTAAGCATAAAATGATGAAGGAAAGTTCCTCTTTATGGTTAGATCTAGCTACTGAATGTAGAAATACTAAAATTAGAAAACTTTTTTCTAATGAAAAAAAATCCTAGTAAAATGCTTGTTCAGGTAAGGATCACCAGTGCCCACAAGAGACAGGGATCTGACAGGACGTTGACAGGGATCAGGCTGCTGGTCCTAACCTTGCAGACCGCCCCAAGCATCCCTGAAGAAGCGGTGCCATACAGGACACACCTCCTGACAGGAGGAACAATGCTGTGCCACCCGCAGGGCTTCTTGTACCAAAACGAACCTGAATCTAATTGGGTCCTTCCATCTACCTTCTAAGGTTACAGGAAATGCCAAGGAGAAAAGCAGTTAAACAGCCTCAAAGAGGTCGAGGGAGGAAACACAGAATGTGGGACCTGCTTCCTTTGACGACTGTCAGTTAATTCAACAAATCATGGTGTGGGGAAAAATAAAGAAGGGTGGATAGAGAGAGTTCTAGATGAAGAGACTAACCATCAAATACAGGAGCAGACCCCACGTGCCTCCTCTCTGAAGCACTTGCAGAAATCTGAACAGAGGCTGGGTATTAGAAGATAATACAGAAGTAACTGTTAAATTGGCCAGGTGCTTAGGATATGATGTGGTTATACAGGAAAATAACCTACTTTTAAAGAGATATTTACAAAGTCTTTAGGAGTGAAATATTGTAAGCTGGCAAAGATTTCCTCTAAAACACCACAGCACAACTGGAGAAGGTGATACTTGAAGTAAGAGGGGCAAAAATCTCGCGGAACTTCGGAGGACAGGCATGTGGAAGGCCGCTGTGCTATTCTCGCTACTTCTCTGTGGGCTTGAAAATTTTTCAAAGTATGTTAGGAAAGTTAAGACCAAAAATTATGAAATCCAGAAAGAAGGAAAAAACTTCTTGTTAAAGAGTGTTATTCTCCACACTTCAATGAAATATTTCCCATGGATTCTAATTTACTTTGTCCTCAGGAGCAGTAACCAAATTAGTTTGAGAATTTGAGAGACTTCATACAGAATCCAGCTGGGAGATGAAAGTAATAAAAATCTTAAGACTTCTCCGAACTCCTATTGCACAAATCTTCCTGATTTCTTCTTTTACTACTGGGATCTACATAATATGTGTGTATGCTACATCCATTTATTAAATTATATTAATTAATAAATTAATAATTTTAAGTAATGCCAAATTAGACAAAAATCAAGAAGCCACAAGAAAATTATTTTTAAAAGGAAAAAAAATTACCGTAACTTTAATCTTTATCCTAAGAGGAATTTCCTTTCTTAATGTTTATTTGTTTTCTGACCCTGAGGGAGGAGAGGGTTAGGTGTGGTGGTGACTTACAGACTCAGCGACAATGCCTCACAGAGACAACAGGCTCAGAAAATACTCAAGAAGTGGATAATAAACAAAGATCAATGTGCTAAGTGCAGCAGGATTCAAACACACGTACTGTGCACAAAGAAGCCCCGGCAGTGGCCATGATCCAGGGTCATCAGGAAGAATTCTGCCCCAAGTTTAGCATTACTGCCTGTTAATAACCACATAAGCCAAGAAACGGAATCTGTGGCAAAAACAAAGCTCAAGAAAGCGGAGGTCTTTTTTTGAATAGGAACCCATTTTTTAAAATGTGCCCCCAAATTTTTAGAAAGTCTGTTTTTCTTTCTAAACCCACATACAGTTAAGCCTGTTTCCACAACTAAACCGTCATAGGACGCCAGGATAATGCTTGTGCTGTTCTTTGTAGATCAACAGAGCAGATTTTATTTAGAATATCTGGAGCCTGAAATTGCAATATTCTAAACCATAGAAAATCCCACTCTGCTCTTGAGAGATGGAAATGCTATTTCAATTGAAATACAAGAGACATGGGGGATTTTTTAAAAAATGACCCTGTAACAGATGAATTTCTCCCATGAAGGTAACTCCATGCCTCCTGTGTGCACTCACAAGGGGCATCAGTCCAGACAGGAGGGGAAATCCCAGTGGAGCCTAAATAGCTCAGGTTTTCACATTTTCAGGATTACTCCAGAGAAGAGGTTCCCAGGCTGTGACACTGTAAAAGCTTTTAGACTGTACTTTGGCTGGCCTGGGACTGAGCTGCAGGGTTAATTCCCCAGCTCAGGAAAGCGCTTACCCCTGGCCAAGCGTGCTGGCTCTGTTAAGGCCTCCTGAAATTTTGTGGCTATAGTGTGGGGAAACTGTACATTTTTGGTTCCTCATCTGCATTTTAGAACACTGGTTCAATAAAAGTGGAAATACAGTAACGAATTCTTTTTTCACCTTTGCAGTAGTGTTAATACAAGTAAAGCCAATTTTATTTTTTTTCCCCAGATCTCAAGATGTCCTGGAAGGAAAACTTCAAATAATGCTTCTGACTGCTTTGTGTTTCTTAACTGACACTATTCAACAAGCAGCTAAGCTGGCGGAAGCAATTCCTCTGAAGCAGAGGTCAGAGGAAGGCAGCCATGCTGGCTCTCTTGTCCACGCAGGGCTGCACCCTGACCCTGACCGCCTCCCAGGCCGCAGCAGGGCCTCCGGGAGCTGAGACCAGCACACCTCTTCTCTCCGCGGCTCCACGGGGATGGGAAGGTCAAGACCAGAGGACCTGAGCAGTTTTCCCAGGCAACATGTGACCTATGACAACAATGAAACAGCTACGAAGGTCTTTCTTTCATGAAAATGTTGCTGGACAGTTCAGAAGCAGCCAACGCAAGGCCCCTGTGAGAGGCCCCTGCACCCACATCAAATCTCTGCAGGGAGCCGGGCGAGGGGCTGAGGGTCCCCTGAGCTGAGCAGCCCTGCCATCCTCTGCCTTCGGGGGCACCCGGGGTCTGGGCCCGACTACCCTCCAGGACGAGTGACAGATATGAACACAGTGTGCTCGACAGATCCTGGTCGGCAGGCACGGGGCCACCTGGGCGGAGGAGGTACCTGGATGGGCAGCAGGCCCTGTAAGCAGCTGCACGAAGCCCACGGGCTCTGGGAGGCTGGCCTCACCCAGGGAGTTTTGGTTCCTTTCATTGTGTTTCCTACACAGATTTAGCGGCATCCAATCATACTCACTTCTGCTTGTGCTCATCAAGTTAAAAAAGAAAAAAAAAAAAGATCTTGCCTGGCAGAGAATTAAAAACCATCCTCTCTTGGTTGAAGAAAAAGAAAAGAAACCTGTCCTTCGTTCTCCTAGCCTAAATAAGGTGCAAAAGTCAATTTTTAGGTAAGAATCACAGATCACCTGACAATATCTGGAGACGTTTCCAGGACCTAAAACATTATTACCACAGACTCAGGGAACTCTGACTCGGGAGGAGAGAGCTGGGAGGGAGGTGGGGAGGGAGGAAGGCGGGGTGGCAGGGGAGAGCCCCGCCGCCCTGAGTGCGTGCCTCTGCGGCCAGGCCAAGCCAAGCCGAGCGCAGTGCAGGGTCCAATCAGGGATCAACAAGCTGAGGTGACGTGTCAGTAGAAGCCCCGCCTGGACTCCACTCACCAAGCTCGCTGGCTTTGCTGTCCTGCTGTGTGGTGTCAGCCCTGCTCCCAACCTGCCTCCCCCAGCTTCAAACGCCAGAGCCCAGGGCTGAGCTAGGAAGAGCCACTCTGTCCTTTCTCTGTCCTCTTCCTCCTCCTCCTCTCCCCACAACCACCGCACAGAGATGGGGGGCGGGGGCAAGGACCCAGGAGCCGGACAGGGCAGGGGCGGAGGGATGCGGGGTGCCAGGGACACTCACATCAACGGCGTCCCTCTCAAACACGCGCAGCTGCAGGAAGAGCTCCAGCTTGATCTTGCGCTCCTGGAAGAGCTCCTCCATCTGTGCCTGGGCCTCGTCCAGCTGCTGCAGCACCGTCTCGATGTGGCTGATGGAGCTGTTGTGCGGGGTCTTGTTACTGGAGATGGCCGAGTCCCTGCGAGGAGCAGCGGGGGACAAACAGGAATTGGATGGGCAAGTCTTACGGCGGCAGAGGCCAGATCCGGCAGCCCAGGGCTCCAGGGGAGAGGCCGGCAGGAAGCGGGACTGCTGCTTTCAGAAAATGGAACAAGCCCCCCTCCCGCCAAACCCCCCGGCTTCTTCCTCCGATCTGAGGACACACGGAGGAATTCCTTCCGCACTTCCTCACAGTCCCTCTTAGAAGAAGGCTACTAATTACACAAACCATTTCAGGGGAGTTTCATCTGTAGTTTGTCCTTAGGTAGAGGACAGGTGATACTACTTAGAGAGAGCAGCATCGGCTGGAAAGGGTTAAACTGTGCAGCAGTCAACTAAGCCTTCGTCAAGGGACTTCTGCCTCTTAGCAAAGAGCATCATGCAAAGTTAGGACTGACGATTTGATCAGCTGTCTTCTACATGAGCCTGTAGGACTACCTTTATGTGAACGCTCCCTGTAACCAATTAAAGGAATTTGCTTCCAGCCCCAGTGCGGTCTCCTGCCATCCTGCCCCTAGAAGCACCTGCGGGAGGGACCGAGGTCACCGGAGGCCGGGCCAGCCCTGCCCGAGCTGGGGGTCCGAAGGAGGTAGGCCAGCCTCACTGCAGAGGAGCAGATCACTCAGGCCCTGCAGCATGTGGTCCTGGGAGGTTTAAATTAACCTGGTTTGTTAGGAAATCTCAGTAATAATTAGGTAGGTGATAAAAGGGAATATTAATAAGAGTTGAATTCTGGGAAGGTTTAGTAGTCAATGCTGTAAGGAGAAAAATCATGGAGTGAAAAAGATTGAGGGGGAAAAAAAGAAAAGAGAGAGAAATGCTAGTCTCCTTTGCATGTATGGATGTCATCTGTTCTCTGCCTAGTTACACAGAGAATTATAGCTAATTGTTCGAAAAATAGAGGAGAAGGGGAAGTCCCTGGCAGATCTCAGAGCATCTGTGTAGGGACAGGAGGGCACGGACAGGAGCACGGGCAGGGACAGGAGGGCACGGATGGGAGGACACGGACGGGCCCACCTCAGCTGCTGGATGAGGTCCTCCCCTTCCTTGATCACGTTGACCGTCACCTGCAGGGTGGTCTGCTGCTGCTGGCCGAAGCGCTTGATGAGGTCCTGCACGGCCTCCACCGACTCGGCATACACGTCGTCCAGCAGCTCCTTCTGCAGCTCCTCCAGCCATGTCCACAGCTGCAGGGGGAGAGCCGTGAGCCGGGTCCTGCTCCGTGTCCCGGGATGGGGGGGTGGGGGACCCGGGCCGGGTAGAGGCACCCACACAGCCTGCCGGCCAGCGGAACACACACGCAGACGGAGCAGGACACGGGGTGAAAAAACAAACGAGCCGAGAGCCCAAGGTGACTGTCACAAAGGAGAGAAAGGAGAGGGAAGGGAAGTGACTCTTCCCAGTCCTTCCTAGACTCAGCCCGAGCACAACAGGAAGGAGAAAAGACCCCTCCAACAACTGGAACATCTGCTAAACGTAACAGACTTTCTTCTACGCATCTTTGGATTCTTATTCAGCAGATGGATAGTTTTATTTTTAGCAAGGGCATTACAATCCATTATTAATTATTAAACCACTGCACAGAGAGAGGGGCTTTACATCCCTCAGGAAAGAAGGAAGCACGTAACGTGGTGGAACAGATCTATCCCTGCGCCCAGCACGCAGTCCAGACATGGCTCTGCCAGGTCCCCTCCCAGCCTGGCCACAGCTCAGTCCTGCAATGAGAAGCGTGCTTCCTGAAGACACCTGAGCACCTTCACGGCCATGACCATCAGCAATGTGTCCGGGGACGTGGGCGGGTAAGGACAACTTGGAACAAGAGCTGCTTTCAGCCTGGTGGAAACAGAGCACCTCGCTTGCCGCCGGGAAGCCCATGCCTCCTCCACATCTCTGGGGAGCCATGTAGTGAAAAGGACAATTAATTAGACTGAGTGGGCCCTGGTGGCTTGGAAGTGGTTGGTGTCTGGAGAAAATGCTTCCCACTTCCTCAGGGATGGAAGAATCACCTCCTGTATCTCACGTGTCCATTGCAGACAGCTGCCCCAGCTGCGGGGGTGGGGAAGGCACCGGCCCCAGCCCGGCCCGGCCACGCTGGCATCGTGGCTAGCACGGCACAGCCGCTGTACTGAGGCATGACTGACACACAATGAACTGCAGAAATGGAAAGTACACAACTCAGTAGATTTTGACACATGTGTAAACCTATGAAAGATCAAGGCTACCAGGACCGTGAATAGCTCCGCCATCCCCAAAGTCTTCTGGTGCCCTCGGTAACCCTCCCCACCTCCTGTCCTGTCCGACCTGCTTCCTGCCACTGTAGATTGGCTTGCATTTTCTTAAAGAAGTATAAACATGGAATCATACAGTATGTGCTCTATTGTCTAGCTTCTTTCTTCCAGCATAATTATTTTGAGATTTCATCCATATGACAGTGTGGATCCAGTTCTTCCCTTTTCATTACTGAGCAGTTCTGCACTCTGTGTTGAAGCCACAACGTACCCACTCAGACATCGAGGAGATGTGGGCTGTTTCCAGTCTGGGGCCATCACAAACACAGCAGCTGTGAGCGCTGGCACACAGTCCCCGTGTGCACCGGTTCCTTCCGTTCTTGTAGGTAGAGACCTCGGTGCGGAGTGGTTGGATCATGTGGCAGGTGTATGTTTTAACTTTTTAACAAACTGCCAAACTGTTTTCCAAAGTGGCTGTACCATTTCACGTCCCTCCCCGCCCCCACAGCACGTGAGAGTTCCAGTCCCTCCACGTCCCCACCCATCCCCTATGAGGTCGGCCTTTTCAACTGCAGCCATTCGAAATGAGTGGTATCTCACCATGGTTTTAAGTAGCAATTCCCTAAGGACTAACGATGGCAAACACAAGCTAACCTTCTAAAAGTTCTTTCATTGTTAAATGTACATTTAGTTGAAAACAGTCTCACCAGATGGCTCTTATCAGGTCAGTAACTATTCTCAACAGGGCAGGCAAATTTAAAAAATAAGCAGAGGGCTGGCAAAGAAGTTACTTTTGGTCGAGTTACTTGTGGTCCGAAGAGTTAATTTCACTAAAAATGTTAAAATGTTTGTCAATCCGTGTTATGTTTTTACCCATTTTTGTAAGACGTCAAATTTCATACAATCCAAGAATTTTAATTAAAGACATTTTAGACAGAGGTCTCGTTGCTCTTACAGATTAGGGAAAAGAGGCCCCAGGTGACGAAGGTGATGCCCTGTGCAACACGGGCAAACCTGCGCGTGAGGTCAGGCTGGTATCAGGAAGCCTCCCGACCCCCTCACACTCACACTGCCTCTGCAGTTCAACTTGAAAAATGCCGCTCATCGACCTGCCAAACGCGGACTGACGCTCTGCGCCACCTAGAAGGGGTCCAAGTCAATAACATACTCTTGTCTTGCGTTTTGTTTTGTTTTTGCTTTCCCTAAGTTCTCATGAACACGGTTGCTGCAGTTATAAATAACAGGAAGTATGACAGCGTTACGACCATGAGGAATCTCCCAATTTGCTCTAATATTTCCCACGAAAACCCCTCCAACCTCTGTAAGTCCTACTGTATAGTAGTAACAGTATTACGGATTTAAGAGACGCTTTGATGAAGCAGTGACCTAAGAGATCTCTGAATTTCTCTAGGACTCTGTTACAACGGGGATCCTCAGACTACCAACCCCGCCCTCAGGAAGTTATCAAGGGGCCAGAAGACAGAGGGTGCAGCAGGGCGCTAGGTGAGCTCAATGCTCCACACAAATTCAATTACCTTCAGTCCACTAACCTCCTCAAATCAACTGAAGAGGCAAGTTTTGCTGTAAGAAATCAAGTATGTACCAGTTAGGCTGCACTGAGCAGTAACAAATATTTTACCAAAACAAGAGTACAGTATTTTTATCAAGTCAAAATATTTAACAAAAACATCCATGATATGGTGTCCAGTAGGTGGGCTTTTCTGGCTGAAACAGTTTCACTCACTTCATGGTCACCTGCCTTCCACATGCAAGGGGCTGGGTAGAGGCAGGTGACTTGCCACCTGCTCCCAAAAGAGAACACCAACCTTCAGTAGCACTGGGCCACTGTGGCCCTCCCACCCCGACTCCTGTCCAAAGACAGACATTTATCAAAAAGTGGACCTTTGCCACTGCATTTCTTCTGCTGGAAAAGAAAATGAAAAAACATTCTCTCAAAATCTCAACTCCATCTTCACACACATGCTTCCCCGAGGCTGAGCCCCCTCATCCCTGAGCCACGGAACCTCCGGGACACACCTGCCTGGGAGTCAGCGAGGAGCTAATTCATTCATGGGTGAAAACTTAATTTAAGGAATGCGGAAAGGGACGCTGAATGTTAAACTGCTGCGTCTTAGAAAACATGCTGCCTCGGTATTTTACACTCATTCAGTGGTGCCGAATAATGTAAGGAAATGTACATCCAAGGAAGACTGCTTTCTCTTCACTGTAATCTAAACAGAAGTACTGATGGGAAGAAAGATAAAGGAGCCAATTCCACCTCAAACACTGAATCGGTGTCACTGAAGGAGGTGTCTGGCACACTGGACGGCAAGCTAGCCTCTGGGGACACTGAGAAACTGGGCCACTGAGTGCTGGAGCCAATGGTGGCCTCTAGTTTTAGTTACACTACACTTTCAAGAGATAAGTTCTCACAAAGCCAGCACAAACTAGTTAGTATCTTTTCTTTGAAATTTGTTGAGAAAACAAAACACACGTTTAAAAAAATCCCACTAGAAAAACACTGCAATTCCAACAAAACGTGACAACACTGACGATGGCAGCCTGATGCAGAGTCGGCACGTCCTGGACGAGACACACCTAGTACACGGGGGTAGACCCCGCTCCCGCCTCTGCTCCGCCGCTGGGCCTCCAGAAGCCTGGGCCTGGCGTCCCTCCTGCCCTGGGGCCCGGACGCCACCTGAGCCGCAGGGTGTCTGCCTCCCACCTGGGGTGTCAGCTAGCCGCCTCCTCTCTGACTCAATAGTGAGGCCTTAGCTCAGTGACCCGGCTTGTGGGACAGGATGGGACAAGGCACAGAATTCCTCTGTTCCAGCAAATACTACCCCCAAATACCACTGAAATCATGAAACCGTTTTCACAAGGCTCACTTCTATACACTGAAGAGGAAGGGAGCGGAGGGAGCGAAACTGATTCTTTGGTAGGATAGAGAAAGACAAATGCCATCTGATTTCACTTATATGTGAAAAAAAAAAACCAACAACGAATAAACAAACAAAAAAACAAAATAGAAGAAGAAGCCAAACCAAACAGGAACATGCAGATTCAGGGAATAGAGCAGCAGTTATAGGGCAGGGGCTAGGGGCTAGGGGCTGGGAGGGAGAAAAGGGTAAAGGGGGTCAGCCATGCAGTGATGGATGGAAATTACATCTGCGTAAGGGACACAGAAGGAGAAATATGACGTTGTACACATGACACTCATATAATGTTATAAATCAATGTTACCTCAGTAAAAACAAAAACAACAAAACCTGACTCTTGGAAGTGGCCCGAGGCACAGGGGACAGGTGTGCTTTTTACCTATCTTTATGGCAATAGCAGATGCTCCCTGACTATGTGCACCACGCTGTGCATTACAACCCAGGACTTACCCATTTTATAATTGGACGTTTGGACCGTTAGACCCCCTTTACCCCCACCCCCCAAGCCCCACCCTGGCAACCACCAACCTGTTCTCTTTATCCATGAGTTCGGATTTTTGTTTGTTTCGTTTTTTCAGATTCCACATTTAAGCGAGGGTATTCAGTATTTGTCTTTGTCTGACATTTATTTCACTTAGCATAATGCCCTCCAGGTCCAGCCACGTTGTCATATTTCATATGTGAAAGTTGCTAAGAGAGTAGATGTTCAAGGCTGCATCACAACCAAAAAATTTGTAACTACATGTGGGGCGATGAGTGTTCACTAGACTTACTGTGGTGATCGTTTCACCATATATACAGATATTGAATCATTATGCAATATACCTGAAACCAACATAATGTGTCAATTACACCTCAACAAAAAATATATCGATAAATAATTAAAACAAAATACTTTTCATAAGAGGTAATATGGGACAATGATTATGAGCATGGGTTCTGAAGCCAGATTGCTTGAGTTCAAATCCTGACTTAACATTTCCTAAGGTGTGATCCTGGGCAACTTATTTACTGGGGTCC